GTTTTTGACTTTGCTGCCAAAGGATTAGACCCTGGGGATGGCGTGAGAGGTGAGCGCTGCAGGCCGACTTACGTCAAATATACTGTTTATAGCAACCGACACGTTTTACTCGATGGTTAAAAAGAGGAATACGCCGACGCAGAGGACGCAGAAGAGCGCTGGTTTTTATATCAATAGCACTTGGTGATGGACACCCTCAGAATGCGTACACCGCCCTGCTGCCTGGTGATTAGCCGGGCCACATGATTGTCGTGCAGCTGTATCGCCCATAAAACCGGAGCCATCTCAGCCCCAGAGTCGCCCGACGATAGAGGCATGACGTAGGATCAACGTGGCGGGATCTACGGCCAAGACGCTACGATCGATCAGAGATATGTTGTCCGCATGCACGATTACTTCACGAGGCAGATTGGTGGGCAGTTGATTATGTGATAGATGTCTGGTGGTGGTCCAGAAGATGTGGTTTTATTCAGTGGTGAATGAAATTTTGTGTAATCCACCATAACTCCCCGATGAACACAAATTGATATCAGATACATGGTATCGTGGGGCTCCGTTAATGTAGTTAAGGAAAGACTAAGAATAAGATGTAGAGAAGATATGAATAGAAGAAAAAAGAAGAAGAAGAAGAGAAGAAAAGAAGAAAAGAAAAAAAGAAAAGAAAAAGAAAAAGAAGAGAAAAAGAGAAGAAAGAAGAAAAAGAAAAGGAAGAAAAGAAAAGAGTAAAATCTCCAACCCGTTCCAACACCCCACCCCGTGAATATTTAATATGCCCGTAAGGAAACGCTCATGGTGATCAAGACGATAGGAAACACTGGTGATCATGATGCCAGCACATCACGACTTGATGATCTTGTGATGGATCGAGTTCCGGTTGGGGTTCACCACGCCCTGCATCGACACGCGGTGGCTCATCGACTCGCGCAGCATCGACGTCCGCTGCACCTTGACGCTCCGGTTCATCGAGTTGCGCTGCACGTCGGCCTTGAACTTCTCCAGCGCCTCGGCGGAGAAGTTGTCCCAGGTCACGCTGTCCTTGCAGTTGAACGACTTGTCGGACCTCCTGCTGCAGAGCGAGGCGGTGTCGGACGCCCCGTCGTAGTACTGGGACTCGGTGTTCTTGGCTACGACGGTGTAGATCATGGCGACGGAGGCGACAACGGTCCATCCAATAACGAGAACATCGACCAGTCGGCGCCAATTACCGTCCAGGGGGAAGTCGTCGGCCTTGTGTCCGTCCGTGTCCATCAGTACGACCTGCACGACGCTGACGAGCTGGCGAACGAATGTCAGGCCGTAGGCGAGGGCAAGCACGATGAAGTCCTACGTCACAATGTTAATATGCAAAGTCTTGCTATCCAGTATTCGGCGGTGGCGATTACTCACGGTCTCGTGAAGGATCATGCGGTAGAGCATGAGGGCGAGGACAGCGACCATGGAGAACACGGCGATGAGGACGGCAATGACGAGTTCGAGCTTTTCCGAGACGTTTCCGAGCTTTGCCACGTCGGGCTTGACTAGGGCGACTTCGTATACGACAAGTCGGGCCATGTTGAGCATCATGGACACAGCATAGATACCCCAGCAAGTGTATCGGTAGATCGGGGTCTGGTCGGTATCTTCGAGGGTGATGACGAGCTCGAGCTCGGTATAGACGATCGAGGCGAAGGTGGTGAAGCCAATCAAGGTCTTGACACCCTCGAGGTGGTACAGCGATGCGCGGAGATCATACGGCGTCGGTCCGGCCACTTGGACGTGTGTGGCAATGCTCAATTCGGCCAACCAGATAGCAATCCATACTCCTACCAGGACGGCCGTCGTTCGGATCCAGAGGAGACCGCTGCGGGCGGATTTGCTGGCTGCACGCAGCTTCATGAAGGCGAGCAGGCCATATGGCACGATTGCCACGAGCGCCAGCGCCAGGAAGACCAGGCTGGCGTAGAAATACTTATCCTCTGAAGCCATTGTGTGTGTGCGTTGTTGTTTACCGGGGCGGGCGGAAGAAACGAAAGGAAATCAATCTGCTGGAAGTCGAAGTCAAAGGGAAAACAACTGACCAGCAGTGAAGGTGCAGAAAAGAAGCAACAGCCACTTGAGAAGAGAAGAAAGGAAACAAGGAGACAGACAAAGGAACTAAGGAAATACTCAGACCCAAGGAAAAGAAATGGTTTCAACAGTCAGAGACACATCTCGCCATTCCGAAGCAGCTCGCGGCCGGAGGCGGACAGCATATATTAAGAGCACCTCTGCGGCACTCAGTGGCCCAGCAGCAGGGAAACAGTGGGGGACTTACTCAGGCGATCCCTTTCGAGCCTAGACGAGTGAGTGAGCATGGGACAGACACAGACAGACTGGGCCGGGATGACGGGGCAGCACCTTGTAGCACCATGTGCGCACTCTAAGACTGCGGCGCGGGGACTGGCCGGTCCCGACTCCCGATCCTCTACTCTGTTTTGCAAGGGACTCGTGCCTAATCTTAGACCGTGCACCGGCCAAATCGCGTCTGCTGGCGGCGATGTGATTGCTGCTGAGAGGCAGTCAGATGGGCCATCGCGCGCTGCTATTCGCTACTCTTCGATCAGTCTGCATGTTCCCATGCATGCCAGACCCAAACCGACCCTCCACCTCGGCTGCCGGTGCTGGTTCTTTGGTGTTTGGCGTGAGGGGCTCACCAGTACTGTCTCCTCTGTCTCAGGGCCGATGATGATAATACTCGCGTTTTATTTTATTTATTCTCTTCACACGAAACAAGCTGCACATAATCGTACCTGCAGAAGCCCACATCTACCAGATGAATTATTACTTACTTATCAATTCTTACAGAGTACTTCTGCAGCTCCACGCTGGATGGCCCTGTCTGTCTCGTGGCGTCGGTAATAATCCTGGCCAGCTGTCCGAAATGTCCGAACGCGCGGTGATAACGCCAGCAAGAATCAAACCCCTACTAGCAGTTGAACTACCCGTGTACTATCCAGACTCCATTGCATGGTTGCTTTGGATCGTCGTCGGTAGCAACGCTCGACCGTAGATTTGATAGAGGGCTTGGCTCACTCACCTAGTTTGGTGTCCTGTTGAAAAATCTGGACCCTGAAGCCGGCGCCTATATTTAGATGCATCTCCCCTGTAGCCAGAGCTGTTTGTTGTGCTATGTAAGCCCAATCAACTGGCACGCGAAACACTCCCCTGAGGGCTCTCCAGCATCGCTAGATTGATTCACCAGTGATTCATGGGGGCACGTAGCACGCTCCCACTTGCCGCTCGATGCAGCTTATTCCCGCAGGAATAGTAAATGGACTTTGGAGCAAGCTCGAGGCTACCAGAAGCGAGGGCTGCTTGTTTGGTGTGCTTGTTACCAGGCCCTACCGTCGCCAGTCTGACCTGTGCTGATTGTGATTGGCCCCCATCCTTACACGTCACTCTAAATAGCATCCAGCGCTCGAGGGTCGTCTCCAAGGGTCACCGTGGTTCTCGAGATCCCAAACCAGCAGGTAGACTCTCAACATCCCCATTCCAAAGACCTGGAGTCGTTATCCAACGATCTGGTGATCCCCAGAGGGGAATATCGTGCAAATTGAATTCAAAGGCAGCAGGTGGGAGTGACAGAACTGTCTCAGCCCAGCCGCACTGATAGCCGAGGATCTGACTGTCGTCCACGATGCACGATGGAGGCAGTGCCGCCACTCAGCGAGCACGTCAACGTCGAGATCAGTCAAGCAGACCGTTGAGCCGACAGCGATCCAGAAGTCCCGTTGTGCCCGAATCCCGAAATTAAGAAACAGTCAAAAAGGAAAATTATCGACGGATTATATAAACAGCCCTTGGCTCTGGGCATTTGGCTCTGGGAGCAGGGGATGACTCTTCCCCACCCTTCCGGCTCTTTAGAGCCCGCGTGAGAACGGTCTCTGCTGATGGGAGAGTTCTGGTGGGTGTTGCTCCCCAACAGGTTGCTGGAGGAATGGAGCGGGTGGGTCCAGCGCGCGTTCATTGAGTGGAATTTTTAGAATTGTCCCATCGCGATCCTTGTCCCATTAATCATCATGGAAATGCCTCGTCGTGAATCTGCCATCGCGCGCGCAAGGCCATATTGGGCCAGGCGCAAGCCACAGCTACTAGCCACAGAGCCACATATATCAGCCACATATAACAGCCACAGTTGGAACCGCGTCTGAACTGAACCAGCTCCAGTCCAATCCACTTACCCTACAGACAGGCCACTCCGTACGACGTTTGGGCATCAACACGTAAATACCTTGTAGTTTTGGGGGTTTCTTTTCTCAATTAAGCATTGATCACCTATAGACCGACGCAAAGGTGTGTTATGTTTCTGCATCATACCCCTGTGGTGAAGGTGCGTGATAAGATACGAAACATGCAAGAAGTTACACATAATTGCGTACGCTCTCTACATGGAATTCAGTAAGAACCTTGTAACAATGAAATCCATTGGGTCAATTAAACCCGGTCACTAATAGAGACCTAAAAGCCTAAATGAATCTCAATACCAGCCGTCCACGCAACAAATCATAGTACACGTGGACCAGGGATATCTTCCTTCACTCTTTCACTGAGCGCAAGTCATGTGTGCAGACTTAGGTTTCCTCCATGTTACCCAATAAGGCATCACTGTGAAATGAACAAATGCAGAGAAGTGGAATCACCTCGGGCGCACTTTCATAACGGGAATGTCGACTCTTTGTTCTTTTCTGGTCGTGTAACCCGAGTTCAATTGTTCAGCTCTCTAGCTTAGTGAGTTTTGTCCGAGGATTTGTTTGTGAACAAAGGCCGATAGTTCAAGTTTCAGCATTGTTACCAAACGCTCTCGAATTAGCTAGATATAAAGAGATGGAGTTGGCTGAGATGGCTAGCTCCCGGCTATCCTTTAGCATTTGCTCGAAAATCATTCTCTGGCCATCACCACCCTTACCCTTGACTGAAAGTGTATGCTCGAACCCTTGACTACCATGTGTAGATACTCATTTTCTGCATCTGACGACAGCTCCATGTCACACCGGGGCTCCGTAGACGTACCTGGTATCGATTTGTTCTATCTCGCACCGGCCAACCTTGAGGCTATAAAGGTTGTCACCTCCCCCGTCAACTCAGAGTTTCGTGCTAGCCAGACAGCAGAGGAGGAGATCGGGACCGCAGCACTTTCTGTCGGGCTTATTCCTTCTGCGAAAGGCGGCAGAACCATCGTCACTTTAGGGCGTAAGGGCGACATCACCGTCGAAGATGAAGGCGAAGACATTTCTGACGTTCATTGCTCCTTCAAGATCAATCCTGAAACTGGAGTGGTGATGCTCCATGACAAGTCAGACAACGACACAACACACGTGCGTGGTCATAATTTCCGTGAGAGAGGATCTCGCAAGGTTGCCATGACCCCTGGAAAGTATGAACTGTTCAAAATCGGCCGCCATCGCAAGATCGAATTCAAGTTGGTGTGGTTCGGCGATGTTAAGGATGCCTTAGTAAGGGGTAAAGTTCTTTTCGCGATTCGAAATCCTGATGCGCGCGCCGACTCCCGCTCATCAGTCAAAAAGATCAGCTTATATGTCAAGGCTGGAATTCTGGGTTCTGGGAAGTGTGGAATAGTGCACAAGGCTATCGACCTTGACACTGGAGCCGTGGTGGCCCTCAAAACTTACAAGAACAACAACAGATCAGATCAGATTCAAAAGCCTTTGCTTTCGAGTTTTCTCAAGAACGAGGCGGAAAATCTGGCAAAATTGAAACACCCAAACATCGCCAAGTTCATCTCAGCCAGTGGCCTTGATGAAGGAAGACCGGAAATCTTCCTAAGAATGGAGGAAGGAAGCCTGTCCTCGCTCATCCGCGAGACAAATAGAATGAGAGAGCCTTCGAGGAGCGAGGAGCGCTTGGAAATCGGAAAGTCGGTCATGAAACAGATGCTTGAGGCTTTACATTATTTGGATACCAAAGAAATCGTCCATCGCGATGTCAAGCCCCAGAACATCCTGTACAGCACAAGATCAAATGGAAGGTATCGTTTCGTTCTTGCTGACTTTGGTCTCAGCGAGTGCACCTCCAGATTCACGTGGAGCAGGCTATCCGCGGGGGCCATGATATTCAGCGCACCAGAGACGTTCGAATACTTCGTCACATTGACGCCCAAGGTTGATGTCTGGTCGCTTTATGTGACCATGCTCGTGGTATTGGATGTCGATGGCTTTGACAAGGACCGCTTGAAGTGCAACAACCGCCATCAAATTCATGATCTGGTCCGCAAGATCAGGTCGAGAAGGCACTCGCTCATTGAACCGTTCAGAAAGATGGCGTCCAAGAAACCCGAAAAACGAGTCTCGGCCAGGCATATCCTCAAACAGTGGCCAGCTATTACGTGGCCCTGTGTCACTGAAGAGGCAACACTGTCCGATGGAACAGAATCTGACAGCACCGGGAGTTTTTACACGGCATATAAAGGACATGGATCTCATGGGTCCGATGGATCCGTGTCTGATCAAACGGTCTCAGACACATCGACAGAGGCACCCCGTTCGAGGCGCAATTCGATGCCGGCTACTTTTCCGGAAAGTGTTCGGCAGTTGCAGATGGAGTTTTTCCGTAAATATCAAGTAGTTGATTCGGACTGCGATACCTGGTCAGAGACGGAAGAATCAAAGACGCCACGCTGGCATACCGTCAAGTCCTTCGGAGCGGCCGTCTTTGGCGGACCCCGGAGGACTGTTGATCCACGAGGCGTGCCTAATAGACTCTCTTGCAATCTCCAAGCGGTCGTGTTTGACGAGCTATTCCGGGACGAGTGATCTCTTGATAGGCATGTACAAAGGCGTATGGAAGTTGTCTCTGTTATTGAAGGATGCCTAAATAGACGTAGAGGTTGCCTTGAGTAAGGGTTCGGTGAGTGGGAAAGCGGACGACGGGAGGATTTGCCGAGGAGAGCTGACAGATGAACAATTGGTGGATGGAATGAACAGGTGGGGGTTAAGTTGTTTTCTCTACCGAAGCTGCTTTGGATCATGTTTATTGCTTTGTGGTGGACATAAAAAGCTGCATGATTTCCTTCGTAGTTAACAACAAATTAACCTATATTCCTGTTGAATCTTGATTTTTCTCTTTTTAACAAAAGTAAAGATGCAGGCTTGGATGGCTCTTTGTGTTCCCAAAGGGGATTCAATATACCGAGAGAGGAGAGCCCGTGAAAGCACAAGTGAAATCAAGGAGAGGAATGGTGGTTATAATTGAAACCGAGATCTAATCGCTAAGATAACACAATCTATAATTAAATGGTACAAGTTGGCCGTTGCTGTGAGTGTAGTTTCTTGAATGTCCCTCGAAGCCCTTTAACTTCATCAAATGACGCTTGCATCGGTATTGAATTTTGGAAATGTGATCATGAGACACAATCCTAGACACCAAGCCTTTGCGCCTCACACATCTTGGTGTATATTCCACCCTGCTGTAACAGTTCGTTATGAGTGCCCACTTCGGCAATCCGCCCTTGATAGAAGACGAAGATGCGATTCGCGTCCCTGACAGTGGACAGCCTGTGTGCAACTGCGATAGTGATGCGATCTCCCGCTTTGGCTGCTTTCATAAGAGCGCCTTGAACCACCCGCTCGGACTCGGTATCGAGAGCACTCGTAGCCTCGTCGAGGAGAATGACGTTCGGATCTCTTACCAGAGCCCGTGCGATGGCTATACGCTGTCTCTGACCACCTGAGAGCTGACTTCCGCTGGTGCCACAGTGGGTTTCGAGGCCTTCCGGGAGGGAGGATACAAAGTCCCAGGCGTTGGCTGCCCGGCAAGCTGCCTCAATTTCTTCGTCGTGGTCTCTCTCTCCTGCTCGGCTATCAATCCCGTTGGCGATGTTTTCCCGTATAGAGCCTGGGAAGAGAGTAGGCTCCTGCTGTACGAGCGCGACATGTTTTCGGTAATGATGAGGATTGATTTCGCATAGCGACTGCGCCGAGTCGATGACTATAGATCCACTCGCAGGATCGTAAAACCGTTCTAGGAGAGATATCATCGTGCTCTTGCCACAGCCAGACGCACCTACGAAGGCGACAAATTCCCCGGGGCGGATCTGTTGAGTAGAAATAAGTTAGGAAATCGAAGAACCAAGAAATCAATTGCATCAACCGCCTTACATTCAGAGATAAGCCCTTCAGAACTGTATTCTTTGGCGCTAATGGGTATGCAAACTTGATGTTTTGGAAGTCGTAAGAGCTGCAACCATTCTGTGGAGCGACATCCCGATTTTCGTCCGTTTCTCGGATGGTTGGTTGCAATCCCAACAACCAGAAGTAATGATTCACTGCTTGATTTGCCTTTGTGAAGCCTGTAGATGGTCAGCCTCGGGGTAATAATACTTAACCGGTATCGACTCACTGCTTGAATAGCTGAACATCAGGCCGGCTCCCTGCCCGCAAAAGTAGATCGCCATGAACGAAACGGTGAATTCGTAGAAACTGACTTTCCCTTCGCCGATGAGTTTTGCTCCCCACCTATTATAATCCTCTTGGTCAGTTCACTGCTACCAACACGGGGCGTGGTGGATTTCATCAGCTTACCAAAAGCCGAGGGCAAGAATGAAATATTCAATGGACTGAGTTAATGCAAACCAGATCATCATGAAGAACATCCTTGGGGCGGATTTGGTAATGGCAGTATCTAGCTCGTTCCCATAGATGTCCAGCACACGTTGCTCGATAGCGAGGGACGAAACGGTTCGAATAGCGTTGACGGTTTCTGAGGCTAATGAAGAGCTAGCAGCCAAGCCTTTACCCATGTTGCTGTCAATCTTGGTCTCGAGACGGATTCGAGCGTATCCAGCGAGAAGGAGTGGCGGCAGACCAACGAAGACTCCAACTACACCGACTCTCCAGGTCACTGCAAGGGCCAGAATGGCGCTGATGAGCACCATGGCACCGGATATGAACACCATGCCGATATTCATTCCCATGAGTTCCAGGATGGCTTGGGGGTAGGAGTCAATTCGACTGATGATGGCGCCGACCGTATTCTCCGGCCGATCGAAGAAGCGCAAGTCCTGTTTGATAATCGAGCTCAACATTTCTTTCCGTACACGCCTACTGAGGGACTGAAGCGATCACAAATTATCAGCATTCTGTGCATTTTGCCTCAAGGATTAAGGGAGTGGAGTTACCTGCGCTATGATATTCGTGGCCCAACCCATGATAAAGTAGACGATTAAGCAGGCAATTGCCATGACGAAAAACAGGAGTGCGTAGAAACTTCCGCGAGAAACCATGTCTGGAGAGTTCGTCACATCCAAGACATGTCCAAGGAGAATGGCTTGAGCGGGAAAGATGGCACCTGTTGGTCTGTATTAGCTACTTTTTCATTTCTTGTTCCAAGATATTGGCACAAGGAGACATACCGCCAATCGCGCTGGTACCAAAGCTGATGATGTACCAGATTGCAAGCTCAGGTGTTTTCATAATCAGACGAGCTACGTTTCGCATTAGCCCCATCGGTTTGTGAAGCTCATAATCTTCACGATCCTTCAATAGCTCCAAGTTTTCAACATCCTTGGTATGAACTTTGGTGAGGGACTGCCGAAGGTCGAGCTTTGTCTCTTCGACGGCATCCTCGTCGGAGCTTGATTCATCTGCGTTGCTCTCCGGGGAAGCTGAGAGGTCTTGAGCGTGCACAAGGCTGGAATATAAGCCGCCGGAGGCTACCAATTCTGCATGAGTGCCTTGCTCAACGATCCCACCAGTTGACATGACAACAATGTTGTGTGCATGGCGGATGGTGGACAGTTTGTGGGCTATCGTGATAGTGGTGCGATTCTTTGAGGCGTTATCCAATGCTTGCTGCACGATGCCCTCAGCCTTGGGGTCGAGGGCGCTTGTTGCTTCATCAAGCAAAAGAATCTTCGGTTCTGAGATTACGCTCCGAGCGATGGCGATCCTTTGCTTCTGTCCACCGGATAGAAGTTCACCTCTCTCGCCTATCCTTGTATCGTATTTTTGCGGCAGCTCAAGGATAAAGTCGTGCGCAAACGCAAGCTTTGCCGCGTTTTCAACTCTTTGGGCCTTCTCTTCAGCAGAACAGTCTTCCCATTCGGTTCCGACTAAGCCGTTGGCGATATTCTCAAACGCCGTTGTATTGAATAAAATAGGTTCCTAGGTCCGAATCAGTACTGATATTCATCGAGGATTAGTTGTCACAATTAAATCAAGTTTGCATACTTGCTGAACAAGCCGAATGTTTGTCCTCAACCACTTCAGGTTCAACTGGTCAAGTTCGGTGCCATCCAGTCGGATGCTGCCGGACGTTAAGCTATACCATCTCTCGAGCAGTCCGATAATTGTGCTTTTGCCAGACCCGCTTGGCCCCTTTGAATGATGTTAACGAAGTCTCGAGGAGAATTCCTTTCACACGACTTACCACAAGAGCAGTGACCTTGCCTGCTGGGATAGTAAGGCTGAAATCTCGCAGCACAGTAACTTCTGGGCGGGAAGGGTAACAAAATGTTACGCCCCTCATGTCGATGGAGCCTTCAACACTGCTAGGTCGCTGACCCTTGTCATCAAAAGGATCTAGTTGAGACTTCCTATCGATCAAGGTGAACAGCTCGGCGGCGGCGGTCGCTGCACGGCTGAAAGCGATCGTATGGGGAGCTATAGAGGCAATCATCGTGGCCGCAACGATGATAGAGAAAACAACTCTGTTTGAAGGTTAGCCAAATTCATGGAATCGAGTCATATTAACTGACGTGAAGACGGTGCCAATTTCCGCAATTTCTCCTCTTCCCATCATCTTGATGCCTTGCCAAAACGCGAGACCAATTCCGGAATTGACAATGAAGAATTCTGCGCCGAACAGAATCCCGTAGAGGAAATTCTTCTTCATACCACGTTTGTAGGCTCTGTCGAGGAAGGCCTCATACTTGACACCCACATGATCCCAGAGCCTGAAGGCGTGTACCGTCCGGATGCCCGCGAGCACGTTCTCTGCGTAGCTTCCAGCGTGTCCGTATATCTTTAGGATATCAGTCTCGATCCCGGCATCTACGGTAGATGCGGCAACGATAGTCAAAAATATGGCTGGGATGATGCACAATGTGATCAGCGTTAGTTTCCATTGGCTGATGAAGGCGATGACGAAGGCTGCTGCGAATGTCGAGGTGGCTTGTACACAGAGACCCAACTTTTCTGTGATTCCAGCCTGGATCAGTTTGCCATTGGAAGTTGCCTGCATTGAAATGGATCCCGATTGGCCCCCGTCAAAGAACGCGATTTCTTGGCTCAGAGCAGCGCGGAGATAACCGTGCCGGATATTTCTGGTGAGGTGGTAGGCGACATATGTGAAGAGTGAGGCGTAGATGTAAGTAAAGGCAAATCGAGCAATGCCGATGTACACAAAACGAAGTCTTGAGGTGGTAAACCAGCATTAGCAGTTTGAATTGAGCGGAACGTATCTTTTGGCATAGGGACACTCACGCGGCTGAGCCTACCCGCGACATAAAGTCGTCCGGTATTGAATCTCCAGAGGTGACTTCGATAAGCAGGTTGATGAAGTCCCCGAGAACGATATTGACAAGAGCCAAGCTAATGCCTGATCCGATTGCGGCCAGAATTCCAATTACTTCAAGCACATAGTCGCTTGGTGACCCATATTTGAACACTCTCTTTTGTTGAGTAGATATGTGTTAGCATATGAATGAGAAAGAACTTGATCATCTTTTTGTAAAGACCGAGGGCCGAAAGACGTACGAAAAATCCACTAAAGGCTGAAACTTGGTCGGCGGGATTCGCGGGATCCTCGACGATGCGCGTGGTTGCAGCGTCCCGCGTTTCGTTTTCTTGCTTCATCTTGGCAATTCAAGATTTCTAGAATAGTCGAGGGGAAAGGAGATGGAAAAGGAAAAGCCCTATCGGGCGAGTTGGTGAAGAGGCCACTGAATTATATATACGATGCAGTTAAAATCAAGTCTGTTTGGCCGTCTTGACAAGGAATTAGGAGATAGTGATCGCATAAAATAAAAGTATGAGAAGAACCATAATGGAAATGAGCCAGGATTAAATCAAATTATACTTGTTACATCTCTACCTCGTGTCTGGTAACAGGTGCCTGTCAACTCGCATCTTCGGAGCCAAATGGGACAAAACCGCCGACGACCAAGTATCGCTTCGTCAGAGCACCAGGCAGGCTTTACTGCTAAGTGGGTTATTAATTACTAATTACCGCAGTGGCCAATCAACCAGTTTAAGACGACTACGGCGTTTGTCAGTCTCTTGCCGGCCGGGATGAGTCAAGATGTTCCACAACGGCTTCCTCGGGCTCCGATCGAATGAGAGCGTCTGCATGAGGTGGCCATTGATACACTAACGGCATCCGGAGCCCATTAAGCTCCGTTAGCCCCTTATCTTTCCTCCCAGCCTTTATGTCATCTGCATCACTCCTCCCGGCAGAGTTGTCCCAGAGTCGCCGTACTGATTTCAATCCTCACTCAACCATCGAGGTCCATCATTTGCCCCCTCGCCCCTCTGATATCCTCTTCTGATAGAGCCGGAGACCGAGCGGCATCCTCACGGGAAGGACCGCCTAAGAATATGGATAGACACTCGGAAGATACGGAGCAGTCCCAAGACGCTCCGACGGACGCCCAAAAGTTGGCTGTGCGTGGCGACATCAATTGATGAAGAGAACCAGGAGCTAATAATCGTACAGTGTGACCGTTGTCGTCAGCGCAAGGTTGGTCTACCTAGAATTCGTTGAGACCAATTGAACCTCCAGGTCATTGACCAACCCCCTTCAGACCAGGTGCAGTCGTGGCCTACCATGTGCCCAGTGTACGAGGGTAAAGGCGTCGTGCTCTTATGAGCAAGGCCAAAAGACCAAACCAAAAAGGCAACGTGTGAGAGTCTCGGACAACCTGTACGCTTGTCGAACCATGGAACAAGTATGCTTGTGCTTTCGACTTACAAATTTGCAGAGAAACCAACATCAGCCACATCATGGCTCGTCTAGATAAGCTTACTGAGATCGTGACTGAAATGCGTTCGCAAGTGGATGAAATCTTGAAAACGTCACAGAAATCGACACCAAATATTGGTTGCCCATCAACGAATACATCACCAAACACGGCATCGGTCCCGCATCTCGAAGCAGAAGAAAGCATGGATCCTTTGGCCGATTCTCCTAAGACGGAGTATGAAGGCGAGTCTTCCTTATTTGGGCACGCCCAATTTGCCGCTACGTTTCTTCAAAATGCGATAGGCGGAAACTCAGCTTCTGAAGTGGGAGGCGAGATGACTTTAGTCCTGGAAACCTTGCATGATATCGTCAAGTCGCAAAAACAAAAATCGGACTCCTTGGGTAGTGTTTTCCCTCATGCAAGGTTACTTCCTTCTAGTTCCGATCTTCGGGATCTTCCTCTTCCCCCAATGGACAAAATATTCGGCTGTCTGCGAATGGCTCAGGGTACGTATCAGAACCTTTGGGGTGGCGTCAAAGTTACTGACAGGAATTGCATGAACAGAGGATCGCTTCGTTCTCGGAATGTGGATATACGAGTTTCAAACTTTGGACCAGTTCACACACTACGTGATTCGGATGTGTTCCCCAGGCCCGCCAACTGAACTCGAACAAATAATTGTCTTTGCTGGCCTGTTCTGGCTTTTTTGTGAGTGCTCGAGCTTAGTCGAAGATGCTAACGTGAAGAAAGACTACGAGGAGCAAGCGTTCCTGTGCCGAGACAACCTCGAGACTGTTCTGCTAAACATTCGCTTCCACGTTGGTTCAAACATGGACCTTGTATATGCCATGAGCATGGCCGTAAGATGGATACTTCTTTCCACCTTTTTATGTAATTTGAACGCTAACCCTTAGCAAAGGCAACATACTGCTTGCAAATCTCAAAAATATCGATGGCTTGGATGTTTATTTGCACCGCTGTCCACAGCGCGCAAACCCTTGGATACCACAGTGCTGTTCCTCTTCAGCCTGAGTCAAACGAAAAGAAAAGCCAGACCACCTGGTTATTCTGGGCCATCTATTCAACCGAGAGACTACTGGCTTTACGTATCGGGCGATCATCAAACGTCCGAGACCAGGATATAACCATCCCGCCCGTGCAAGCAAGCAATAACTGCGATACTTATCTTCGTGCAGTTTTCCCAACATGGATAAAAACTGCACAAATTCAAGGGAGTCTCTATGATGATCTGTATAGCCCCGGTAGTCTTTCGAAGCCGGAGCACAGCCGTGTGTCGCGAGCATATGAGTTGGCGGCAGAGATAAAAAAGGTCATGGAAATTGAGGCTGAAGTGCAGGTTCGTCATTTTCTGCTTGTAACCGGACGTCCCAAAAAATGTACTCTACAATAGTACGTGCATTCCTAGAGCCTGTGACTGACTCTCACAGCGGAGGTTTATTGAAGCCTGGGGACCGAATAAACAACGCGGCCCCAATTCGCTGATTTGGAAAATCGACCGCGTTATCAACTTGTCTACACTGACGCTTGTGTACCGCAGCATCAAGCCAAATGTCCTCGGACGAAGCGTATCGGGCGAGTGTCTTGAGGTCGCTAGAGCTGCCATGTCTGAGTTGAGCACGACGCTGGTCTTATTCAGCAGAGAAGCCAAGAACTCAATTGGCGCGAGCCTTCATGTCAACTGGTGCGTAATAATTCGCATGCAAATGCTTATTCGAAGGATTCATGGTTGTGGTTATTAATGTATGTGCCAATTTGCTTCGCAATAGGTCACTTGTCCAGGCCCCTTTTGTGCCATTCATCACTCTCTTCTGTCACGTCATAGAGACATCTGAAGCCTCCGACCTCGAGTATTTGCAGGATTGTATTGACAGCATAGAATCGATGGTTGAATGCGTCGTGGATGCTGCACCGAAAAATTATCTCCGTCTGTTTAGGGCGTTGTACGATGCTGCCGTCAGATACCTTGACGCGAGGTCCAAATCAGACCAGACATCAGGCCAAACAGACCTGTCTCAACCGTGGGCTTCTGAGAATTCCATGAATTCTGCAACAGTGACACAAAGTTCTGAGATCGTCCCCTTCACCCTACCCCAGTTTCCCCACCCTGACTCTGGCGACTACAACCAGGCGCCAAGTAGCATGGCTGCTACAAGCACTCTCGAGTCTCAAGAACAACTCTCCCTTGGTCTCTTTGGAGCAGGCGTGGACCCTCAGAGTTCAAACCTTGGAAGCTGGTATTACAATCATCACCAGCTGATGCGGATGTTGGATAATATGTAAGAGGTTTATAGACTTAGTCTAGGAGTAGCCAAGACTATGTTCCTTTTCTATGGCACGCTAAGTGCGTAATTAGATTGATCTTTATCTTGAGTCTAATATAGGGGGGTTTCAAGTGGGTGGTGCTTCTCGCGTCCGAATTACCTATATTCTACCTTGTTCTCGGTGACAAACCCTGCTACTAACAGCTGAGAGTCCTCACCTCCTGCCTCCTCGTCACTCTCCGTGCGTCCACGAGCAGCGAATCTTAGACGTAGATCTTTCAAATCCTGTGACATATTTTCTGCTCCTCCAAAACTGCATGTCTCAGCAACCTGGTGCAGCGTATCGCTTGTACTGGTCGTAGTGACGAATTGGAGGAAGCTGTTGCTGGCGGACACCCCATTCTTATAGAGTGACCAAAGCCCCAAAATGTAAATAGCGGCTGTCACAACAAGACATGCGGCGTATGGGGCAAAAAACTGCATCTTCTCGTTAAACATATAAATCTCCGATCCTACCATGGCTTCGATATCACCTTGGTTAACCCATAATGGCTCAGAAGGGTCGCTGAACGATATTGTGGAGATTACAAGGTCCTGGAGGAATCGCTGAATCCTATCGGCCGTAATGATGATGTTTGGTTCATTTGTGTTGTTGAGACCTATATACGGGCTGCCAAAAACCCCTGTCGCAGAACCGCTATAATACTTTTGGGCGTAAGTGTCATCTTGTTTCCCTGCCTCCGCGGCTGCTATCATTAGCTTTTTTATTGCATACATGATTTCATACTCCATTATACTTACTAAGGTTGGCATCTCCTGCTAAAGCAAGAATAGCTGCACGGCTTATTGCGTAGGCTTGAGCCAAAGGGAATTTGGCTGCCAGAACTTCGGGGTCTCTTGGGCTTTCATTTGCCGAGAAGGCCTCCGGAAAGGACGTTGGGATACCTTTCTCCGGCCATACATCTTTATCATCCTCAATAATGACATTGATGGACCGGGACTGGGAGCTTGAGTCGATTTGAAGTTTGTACTGAGCCAACGTCATCGAACAGTCTAGGGTTTTCAACTCTTGTGGGTCGCATTTGAGTTTGAATGGCTCTGGATACCAGCTGAGCTTGAAGGAATTTATCATAGGATCATTGCGGGTATCCTCTCGTATCCTGTTTTCAGCTCGGTACACAACCTCATTGTGAGTTAGACGATTACTCTGACACGCTTTTGGATCGATCAGCCCCTCTTTTGGCCCTAGTTCTTTGCAGTTGAAACGTGGTCCGGCGATGGACATGTTGTAGTTGCAAGCCTTGTTGCAGGGTGATGGAAAGAAGAGCGGACTCCCAGAGGCGAGGACACCAGAAGCCATAGATATAAGACGTGGGTTAAATAAGGTACTGGCTTCTGATGTTCTGCAATGCTGTTAATTTCCGTGTATTATAGGCGTCCTAGACATTCCGTACTTACAACCATACCATAGACCCTTCCAATTGTAAGAATGACCGCTCATGAACATCCTTCATACCTCCACGGCCAAAGTCACTGATGTTCATAGTCGGTACATTTGTCAAAGTAACCGGAATCACACCTTCCTGATATTCCACGCTCAAGGCTCCCGGGGGAAAGACAACAGCGATGGGAACTAAAGCACAGAGGATGCCAATCAAGGCTGCAAATGTCGCATCGTTGTAAAGATCAGGACGCCACAGGTCCCACGGGCTCATCACCAAAGTGACTAGCGTGTCAATCGTTTTGGCTTTTAGTGATTTGAGGCGAAAGAGCCTCCAAAGAAATTGGTTGTAGGCCACACCGATCCCCCCCAAAATCACTAACTCTACGGCAACAGCGAAGAAATTCGCTACAGCAGATTGGGCTGACTGGGATATTCCTGATAACTCCACAGCCTGTCCATCAAGCCATATGAAGAACCCTAGATGGCCACCCATGAGGGCGATTGCTAAATGTAGTAAAAAGAACTTATTAGAGCAGCACGTGCTGTTTGAGTCAGTATATTACGAACCTAAAATAAAAAACACGGCCATTTGTACGACAACTTCCCATGGTCCATCCTGCATGCGCTTAGCTGGCTTCGCGCTGGTAGGCAATTGTAAGTGACTCTGAGTGTCGCTACCGTCTGTAGACAGAGGTTCCCTGTTGCTTTGCTGTTGATCTCTCATGTCCAAGGTATGGTTAAGAAGCCCAAAGCACTCAGCACCGCCTTGAAGGGGGTCTCTGAGGGATGGCTCCATATTTGGTACAATAACACCGATAAGAAAAATAACAGTAAAAAGCTATCAGAGGGTGTGAGGAAAACCATACAGGGGCTAACCTTGAGACTCTGGGTCCATGTGGAAAATAATGCTGTAATGATTCATATAGTAGCTCAGCTACGGATTGGTAGGGAGCCAAAGCTGACTAAATAATACCTGAAGATTTGCCCCTTTACGACACATTCAAATAAGCCACAAACTACTTGCATAATGCCAAGAGGTACTACTTGAATTACTAGATGTGCAGAAGTGAAGGCTGTGAATAGTGGCTGAGCAATCAGCTTCTTTCAGGAACCAATGATTACGACAGAGTTAAGCCACATCGTCAATATGCTTATTATCATTTATCACTTTCAGTGTCGGTCCCGAAATTTGTCTCACAATGGTATGCTGCAGCTTAGGAATATGCCTTGCTATACACCTCTCATGGCACAGACCAATCAGCGTAGCTACAGTGAGACCTTGATGTAAGCCAAGACACTTCTAAGCAATGAAAGCCAATCGCCGTCGCGATATGAAAAGTACTGTTGATTTGGCTGGAACTATTGCAGGACTACCCGGCGGGCCCGGTCAGCAAGCTGAATTTCTCTCCTCTAAAGAGGGGGATTGAAGGACACGTTAACTCTAGGTATCTGGTAAATAAAGCTCAAGGATTCCTAGGTGATAACTGAAGGAACAAGCCTTGATATGCAGGAATGCGCCTTATTAAATAAGAAAGACATACGAGTTAATGCCTGCAAAGCAGTCCTAAGGGCAAGCGAAGCTGCGTTGGGCAGTCAGCGTGAATAGAATATAACTTATCTGTTCGAAGCAGCTCGAGATTGCGGCTGCTGATTGCATTCACTTGGATTGCGGTTAGCGAGATCAAGGAGGGGTCTGACTGTTCTGTCTGTAGCTGCTGCTATTGATCGTATTCGTAAGTGTAGCTGGGGATAAGAGCAAGACTACCTGCCGGAGGCTGCTTGACGCTGTACTTGTTGATCGTGTTATTAGGTTGAAGGCCAATAGGATCAACAGAGAAGAAATAACAACATACACGCATACATAGGTAGGTCAGGAACCCCCAACCAAGGCACTTTTTCCAGACTCCAGGCCCTCGAGACATGAACAGGAGGGTATGCATGTAGATCTACGCTAGGTGAAACGGCCATTGCTCGAATGATTTATTACTACAAGCCACTGCGAATAGAATTAGAGCGAAAAAATGGCACTGGATGTTGAGCACTGCAGGGATCAAGATCCAAGGAGAGTTGTTACAGTGGCGTAATTGCCGAGGCGCCAGCCTCAAGGAAACATGTGAAGTCTCTCAAGTGGATTTTGATGAGTGTAGCTCTTCGAGGAGAATGTGTCAACGGCGCGGGCTCCGAACCAAGTGTTGGGGCTCGGCACGAGTAGATTTCACCAACCCAAGGCTTGTGACTCTCCGGGGCATACCTCCTTGAGTTTTTCTCGACGCGCGGCGGAGCACGTTTAGCCTACCTATTGAGGGCTTTTCGTGGATCGGGAAGAATTCAGTCGATCATCTCATGATGAATGGAAAGGGCATTTTGTCCTGGCCATAGAAAGGATCTGGGTTACAGGGATTAAGGGGTTTTATCCCGTGTTCTCCCATGTGTTCGGGAGAACAGAACCCCAAAAACAAAATCGCTAGCCATTGACAATTATGATTTGACAATCCGTCACCCTAATTGAATTATAGCTTGGAGAAGGGTAAGTTGGAGGAGTGCGTACGGAACTGATCGGCTTGGAATCGCGTGTTTGACGGCGAGATATCGACCCAGAATTAAGGCTGACTGGCCTGATTCTGTTCCAAACGGGTTTATATTAATGGGCGGCTCCCAACAAAATGCCCCAACTACTGCCCAACAACCATCTCCACACCTACGACGCTCTAAAGAAATCTGGACGTTGCTCTTTGGTGCACATCCTAGTCACCCAACAGGCTGTGTGCCGCTGTATCCCCGGATTTGATTCCCAACGAGTGTGAATTGACTGGTTTCATGGTACGAGGAGTCTACGTAGGTCGAAGATAGAGAAAGCAATAAACCTCGTATATATAAATGTCTGTCGCCTTGTGTCCTGGTCAATCTTCGTTGGAGCGTGATACAAGATATTCTTTGCTTTAGTATTCATTGCTCTCGCCTGCTGGAAGGCGCCGGTGCCTCCCTTGACAATTTTCTCTATTTTATTCCATCCCAATTGACCGACCTTGCAGTCGAGGCTCAACTCCAGTCATGGGGAAAACTCAGACTGCCACCGAGAGCGTGTACGATGGGACTACCGATTATAAGCCCATTCGCTCAAAAGCCTACAATCTTGACAAGGTTCATATTTCAGACAAGCCAATGACATGGAGTAATTGGTACCAGCACGTCAATTGGATCAGCAGCACCTTTGTGGTCATCATCCCCTTCTTTGGCTTCGTTGCCACTTACTGGGTCCCTCTTCGTCTCAACACAGCTGTATTTGCTGTCATATTCTACGTAAATAGCGGGCTGGGTATCACTGCAGGTTTGTCTTATCCAGACTATTGAACGCTTGAGAATCGTCCTGCGATAATTGCTAATAATTGGAAACAAAAGGTTACCATCGCCTCTGGGCTCACCGCTCGTACCAAGCTTGCCTTCCCGTTCGAATATACCTCGCTCTTTGCGGTGCCTCTGCAATCCAGGGCTCGATTAGATGGTGGTCCAAGGGCCACCGTGCCCACCATCGCTATACCGACACGAATAGAGATCCCTATGATGCCCTTCGCGGCTTCATGCACTCTCATATGGGCTGGATGGTCTGGAAACAGAACCCCAAGCGCTTGGGCCGCACCGACATCACAGATTTGAACGAGGATCCCCTTGTCATCTGGCAGCACACACACTACCTGAAGATCGTAGTCTTCATGGCATACATCTTTCCCACCCTCGTCTGCGGTCTAGGCTGGGGCGACTACCTCGGCGGCTTCATCTACGCGGGCCTGCTCAAGGTGTTTTGGATCCAGCAGGCTACATTCTGCGTCAATTCGCTTGCACACATGATCGGTGACCAGCCCTACGATGATCGTCGAACACCAAGAGATCACTTTCTCACTGCCATCGTAACGCTTGGCGAGGGCTACCACAACTTCCATCACGAATTCCCCTCAGATTACCGTAACGCCATTCTCTGGTGGCAGTTTGACCCAACCAAGTGGTCTATCTGGACGTGGAAGCAACTCGGCCTCGCCTATAATCTGCAGCATTTCCCCCAGAACGAAATCGAGAAGGGCGTCCTCCAGCAGAAGCAGAAGAAACTTGATCGTCAACGCTCCCAGCTTGACTGGGGCACTCCGTTGGAGGATCTTCCTGTTATGGACTGGGAAGTGTACGTCGAGCAGGTCAAGGCTGGGAAGGACCTTGTTGCTATCGCTGGCGTTGTGCACGATATTACCAACTTTATCGCTGAGCACCCCGGTGGCAGAGCACTTATTAAGTCTGGCCTTGGAAAAGACGCAACAGCGATCTTTAACGGGGGTGTGTACAATCACTCAAATGCTGCACATAACTTGCTCTCTACCATGCGCGTGGGTGTTCTTCGCGGCGGTGGCGAGGTCGAGATTCTGAAGAGGGACATGAGTGAGAAGGAGAAGGGTGCTTAGCTCGGCCATGGGGGATAATAACAAAGAGCGGCTGATTTGAGGTTGTATTCATTCATCAGGATGTCTTGTCTTGGGGAGGTTTCTCAGCGTTGGAGGTCTTAATGTATTTAAATTCGTCTTTTTAGCAGGTAATGATGAAGCACTTTATGGACAGGCCGCTGGTAAACGCTACCCGCACATTCTATAGAATCCTGCATGTTGGCGTTTCGGTTTGATATTCAAGCAGCCAACCTTTACGCGCTGTTCTTGTGGCCACGTCTCGCAAGTCTAACTACAATGCGTAACGGTCATCACATCCATTTATTGCATTAGGACGACCAAAATTTGATGAGCTATTGGTAGACTTCAAATCATTGTCTTGATTCGGTAGGTTGCCCGGAATATTTCCACGCTTGTGTTGCCTTTCGCTAATATCGTGAGTGCTAAAAGGCTCCGAACAGCGATGATCCGGAAATTCGCCCTTTCGGTTTTAACAAAACCCTTGCTTCCAATCTAAATTCTTTCGGGGCATAAACATCCTATTAATGGCACGGCAAGGTTGTTGTTCTAGCGCTTATGCAGGCTCTTCAGGGGTTCTACAACGCCTCCACTCCAACTTGCTTCGTCTGGTTACTGGTGGACGAAAGATGTCTGAATTTCTGTTTGACAAGGGCGAGGGAGTCTGTATCAGACAGTCTTGGCATTGTAGATCAGTTTGTACTCCTTGAGAAGAAGATTTGAGCTTCCTCTGTCCTCTTGAAAGGCCAAACAAGTCCCCTGTAAGCTGACGCGTGCTTATCCTTCGTTAATAGGGCCTAACTTGATGGAGAATGTGCTAATTAGGGGCCGCTATATAACCAGGACTGTGCCCGCGACACCTGTTCTCGTCGCGATTTCATCATCTCACGCACAATGGGTCAGTTCAAGGTCATCGTGGTCGGCGCAGGACCAGTCGGTCTGATCCTCGCGATCGCACTGCAGAAATCCGGCATCGATTTCGTCGTCGTCGAGCAGCGCAAACATGCAGCGCCCCCAACCGCCTTCGGCATCTTCCTGTGGCCGCATATTCTGCGGATATTCCATCAGCTGGGCCTGTATGAGGATATGCAGAGCATTGGGCTGGTGATGACAGAGTTATTGAACAGGTCTTCAACAGGAGAGCAGCTTGAAATCTCCAACGGCTTCGAGTTGCTCGAGTTTGCGTAAGTTGGCACCAACTCAAGTCAACGAATGCACTGATTCCAGGGGCTTATCAATGGACCTAGTCACGGATATCCGACCATGTTGTTTGATCGAAAGAGTTTTGCCGAGGTGCTCCTTAAGCATTTGAAGGGAAGCGATCAGCTCGTGAAGACCAGCAAGAGAGTCACCAACATCAGCACTCGCAAGGACGGAGTTACCGTCGACTTCGCGGATGGCACCTCGGAGGACGGGTCAATCGTTGTTGGAGCCGATGGCGTATGGAGCACCGTCCGGGATTTCATGCGCGAAAAGGCGCCCCCTGGCCTTTTCAGCGAAGACTCGAACCCCTTCAGCGCCCCTTACCAGGGTCTGTTCTTCCGCGTGCCTCGCCCCGAGTCTCTGAAGCCTGGCCAGACGGTGTATGTCCACCAACCGCACAGGCAGTTGATGGCCCTCGTGACTGATACCGAGGCTCATATGACCACATATGAGAGGATTCCTAATGTGAGCGAGCGCACCAACTTTTCGCCGAATAACGTCAGTGATGAGGATATCAAATACTGGTTCGATGTCCCCGTCAATGAGCAGGTCACGTTCAAAGACCTCTGGGACAACAAGACTATTGGTGGTATGGTGAACCATGATGAGGGAGTCATACCTTGGTGGCATTGGGATAGGCTTGTGCTCGTGGGAGATTCTGTCCACAAGGTAGAGTGCTCTGTTGTTCATTTGACCCAGGAAAACTTACTGACTGATCTCGCAGATGAGTCCATTCCGTGGTGCTGGTGGATGCTGCGGGATCGAAGGAGCCATTTCTTTGGTGAACAAGCTCAACCGAGTACTGAGCTCCAACCCAGACCCTTCAAGGCAAGACCTGAGCGGAGCATTCACCGCGTACCAAGCCGAACGCGAACCGGCTGCCAGGCTTTGGGTGAACGTTTCGAGAATTGACATCGATCTCTACACGTCGAAAGCGGGACCTGCATCAAAGGCGGCTACCTTTGCGGATGGTAGGGCTATCCCTATAGCTGCCAACAGCCCGGTTCTGGACATCCTGCCATTCCCCGACGAGAAAGAGGGCGTGGTCCCATGGAAAAGGCATCCGAAGGCTGATGGGCAGTCAAAGGGCGTCAAAGCACGCCTGTGAGTTGTTTTGTCTGCGCTGGTAACTGTCTCTTTACGCATACGTCATTTTGTTTCCATCTGTTCTTCATTTGTCATCGATACACGGAGCCTACAAGGGCATTAGAAGCTGCTAGATGGACTGGAAATATATAGATTTTGAGCGTATAAGTTGAATTTAACAATGGAAAAAGTTCGAATCATTATGGCCTTTGTTATGACTGACCGCTGGACACCGTGCTCTCTTCATTCTGCATGCCAAATGTAAGGGTTAGATACGAGAGTCTTCGAGTTAGTAGATAGATGGGCGATATCACCTAGGAAAGAACACGATGAGATCATAAGTTTAGAAGACTAATCGTCACCGTCTCAGCATAGATTTTAGCCTTGTTTTGACCTCAAGTATCACCACACCATCCGCCATCTACCACGTAACTCCCTCCAGTAATTGCACTGGCATCATCAGACGCCAAGAACAGCATCAATCTAGCCACCTCAGCCGGCACAAGTACCCTCTTCAGACACTGCGCACCCAAAGACTCAGCTTCATATTCCGGCGTAAGGACGGTATCAATCTGCCTCTGCGTCGCAATGGCTCCAGGCATGATACTGTTGACCCGAATTCCAAACTCGCCGAATTCCCTGGCGTGCGTCCTCGTCATACCCATGATGCCTGCCTTGACGGTTGTATAGATAGGGATTCCTGTCGCAGGGATCCTCCAAGTAATGGATCCCATGTTGATGATACACCCAGACTTTTCTTTCTGCATCGAGGGCACAATAGCCTGCGTCAGGAAGAACTGATGGCGGAGATTAGTGTTTATATCCAAGTCGAAGGACTCGGGCGTGACCCCAGACGTAGGAACGCGACTCTTGGGCCCGGCAGCGCCAACATTGTTTATCAGTATATCAACATGGCCGAATAGCTCGAGCGTTCTCTGCGCACACGACTTGAGCTGCTCTAAATCCGTCACATCACACTGGAAGAATGTTGGCGTGGTTGTTCCTTCGGTCGCATGGAGCTTTTCAACCAGCGCCTCGGCCGATGCCTCGGATACGTCCAGAAAGACGACGTTAGATCCTTGATTGCAAAAGTGTTCCACAGCAGAGGCGCCGATGCCCTCGGCGCCGCCTGAGATGAGGACAATCTTGCCGCGGAGGCTGGGATATGTAGCGAATTGTGTCATGGCGGTAAGCTCGAGATGGGAACGGCTGAGATGATGGAGCTGAAGAGGGAAGATATCGTGGCATGGAGAAACTAGGTACGGAAATACTCGCGGATGCTACAATGAATGCTACGTGACGTCCGAATGACGGGTATCATTTACCGACCAAGCGTAAGACGAAGTGGCGGTTGAATTGATAGCACCTTGGTAAACCCCTGTCAGCAATTCAAGAGTGCATTTCTCCTCGTTAGAAGAGAGTGGTGTACAGATCTACCTCACTGCTATGCTCAAGGTGTATGTGTGCCCTGTCAATGACCAGGGGGCCGCATCTGTTTACTTGTCGATAAGTCACTATGACTTGAGTTGGCAGTGGCCCTTGTACTCGGCAAGTTGATGGCCACAGGTCCGTTCATAGCTTCCAGGGCAGTATCCGAAATGCGGCTGGACGACCATCTGAAAAATCACATTGCCTTTGGGCATTTATACCTATAAAGGTTAACGGCCGACGGAAGCCTAATCTCACAGTAAGCTGCTCGCAAAGCCCATCGACGAAAGTTCCAATCTCCTGATGGAAAGAAGCATAAAAATAAGGCTTGGCATCATGCGGGAGGCGTTGACAAAGGCCAATAATTCTAGTCCGCGACCAATCAATGTCCAAAGTAGCAGTCTTATGGGAGGGTTTTGGCTACTGGGATCGACATGTACAGGGCTAAACTTGCGTTACTGGTTGCAAGAAGGGACTTGAGCGCTGCGTCCTCGACTCCTTTAAGCGCTGATGCAACCCCATTGACGCCGCTTATGCATAATTGTGTCGTGTTCAAATGCAAGTTCATGTCATATTATTTCAAGTGCTCACCCGCCCAATTGAAAGTTCGTCACGGCAGGCCCGTCACGAAAACCCACGGTCACGATCGACCTCGTCCACAACGGTCAGCCTACAATGGCACATAATCGATTCGAGGGGTCAGATTTGCCGCAGGTCTACGAAGGAGATAACTTACCACAGGTTTATGACAGAGATAACTTGCCGCAGGTTTATCAGGGGCATAGATTTGAGGAAGGACTTCAAATAATTGAACCTGAATCACCCGGGACCGAAGCAGCAATAGTCGATGCCGGGAGTAGGGGAAAAGCGCCAGAACCGTTTTGGACGAGGAAGAAGATCTGGATTGCAGTCGGAGTAGCCGCGCTGATTGTTATCGGAGTTGTCGTTGGCGTCGCAGTCGGCGTTGTTACCGGTCGAAAAGGGACAAGCAGGTAAGTCTGATCCGCCGTACAAAGCTCCTGAGTGGCACAGCCTATCTCAGAGATACTAACGGGTGCGAATAGTAGTGATGGATCAAGCAGCCAACCGACAGGAGCTGAAATGGCTCTGACCGCGACAACAACGACGTTTCCTACTCCAAGTGTGGTGGCGACAACATGCCACCCATCAATATGCCCAGCAATCCTGGCCGCAGCGCGATCTTCCTCCGATCCGAAAGCCTTCTTCCTCTTCGGCCGCGGTACCGATAATGCAATATGGTACCGCGAATCGGACGGCGAAAGATGGTTGAAGGACTGGGAATCTTTGGGTGGCAAGTTTGACACAACCAGCGGCTGTGTCGATCCGTGAGGGTCAAATTGACGTTTTCGGTATCGACACAGATAAAACGATGCGCACGAAGTCATATCGAAACTCGGCCTGGGAATCTTCCTGGGCATCTCTTGGCGGAGCATGTAACGCTGCACCGGCAGTATGCTCAATGCGAGAAGGGAGGATGGACCTGTTCACCCTTTCATCGACTAACGAGCTCGCTCACAAGTACTACGAGAATGGGCAGTGGGCTTCGCTGAGTTCTGGATCAGGCTGGAGTCGCCATGATGGGTATGTTGCCAGCTCTTTGGCGGCTACTTGCAGAGGGAACAACTTTATGGACGTAACAGTATATGGAAAGAAAAAAGCTCCATTTCAGATAGCCTCAAAGCATTGGAATGGATCTGATTTTGATAAATGGAGTTCACTGGCGGGCCACTATAAAAGCAACCCGTCAACTATCGCGATGGCGGAGAATCGAACCGATTTCTTAGGCTTAAACAGTGAGAAGGCCATGGTTTATCTCTCATGGGGTGACGGAGCAGACATCAGCAAGCTCAAAATAGCCGACATTGGGGGTGAGTCTCAATCAGTGGCAGATTTGGTTTCCCCGCGCAGTGGGAGGTTGGACGCCTTTGCAGTTGGGAGTGATTCCAAGCTCAAACATAAATCGCTCGTGGGCTCGGAATGGGGTTCCTCATGGGATGATCTAGGAGGCGCGTTCAACTCGGCTCCTTTGGCCCTCTCGATCGGCAATGACTCAATATTGGTGTTTGGGGTTGGGCCCGAGGGGAAAGTTATACACACCAAGTTACAAATTGGCTCGGAAAACTCCATGAGCGCCTCTGACTGGTTCAGCGACGGGGGCTCTCTTTCTGTACAGTGGCTTTCAGCGGGACCGGCATAGCGAATGTGAGAAGTATGCATGGCTTCAAAATTGTAACAATTATAGTTAATCGTGAAAAATGACCATTCATACATAGAGTAGGGGTTATGAAGTGCCACGTGAATTCTTGTGTCAATTTACGACCCTTGAAGTAGCAAATACACAGCTCCTTAGTTTTGAGTAGGCCATCCCTTTGCTCTGGTAGACATCAAAGTCTGGAAAATGGATAGATGGGTTGGGCCTCTTGATTGCTAATGAATTCAACAGACAAAGCGCCAACCAAGTCCTTCAACGAACGACTAAGATGACCCTCCATTGTTCCAAACTATTTGAAAGTCTTTGAAGTCTGCGACTAGAGGCTTCCCCTTTCCAGGCTTGGCAGCATATGCGTCCACGCTCAATGTCCAATCATCCCCATATCCGAACGGCCAATTTATCTCTCGTAGTGGGACTTTATCCTCGCCTACCAATTGATAAACCCAAAGACTCAAACCAAGGTCGTCTTCTTGTTTCTGAATTGAGACCGTGGTCCAGGCCTTTCCGTCAGTGTGATCATTGCTGGTGATTGGGGCAATGCTCCAATCAGACCAAGCATCAGTTCCGACAGTGCCAAGTCGCGGGACACCATTGTAGAGCTCGATTCCTGTTTTAATCCATTTCGGGGGAGGTTTCTGTTCCTCCGTAGCATTTTCCACGTTCAAGGAAATAAGCAGTCCTGCTTGGTCATACTGGACTACCGTCGGCACGCGAAATGTCAACGACGCCGACACAAAGCTTCCCAGGGGCCCAACAGGGTTATCTGGCCCAGGCACAGTGGGCGCTGCATCATCATTGTGGTTAACGGGCGTGATTAAGTGATGATACCCATAAGATAGATCATACCGTTGAAGACATCTGTGCTGGGGGCTTTGCGCCATATGTCGGTGCCAGATTGTGCGGTGATGGAGAACATGGTTGATTAGCCTGGACTTGAAGCTGAACAACTGCCATTAAGAAGGATCGTGGCATCATTTAATACACGAGAGATTGACGCATTCGTATAACCCCGCTTGTCCACCCTTCAGCCGCTCCGTAAACAGACACAGCAGCGGGGTTGAGCTTTGTGCTTTCTCGTCTTCATTGGTTCGGGTGGTACCATTCGGCCAAAAAGAGAAGGAAGCTATGTAAACTACGTTGCAAAGTCTTGGTAAATACTTGAAAAGTGAGGAGGTGTGACGCGATTGATGATAAATTAGGTAGCATTGACATACAGGTAGGGCGAGGAGTAGGTATACAGCCAGCTGGGATGTACTGCGTTTCAAAGGTCAATACAACTAGTCATCAGATGAATGAAATGTGTGGCACAAAAAGGGATCTATGCATGTTATATGCAATTCGTGCTCCAGAGCTATTATAAGCAACCTCCTCTGGTAATCCTTCTTGGCAGTCAGCATAGGAGGCTCAGCCCATTCCGTATTCTTCAGGTTACATCTTGCCAGTCTCAACATTTGGTGTACTCCGTGAGAGATGCTCAATTACCCCGCTGTAACATGCAGATTCATTCCAAGCCACTGAGGAGAGCTGAATGGGGGATAAACGCCTCGGTAGCACGCATAAACAAAACCCTTGCGAGGGAAGTCGAAGGGATGATCCTGAGTCCAATCGAGTGCAGCAACAGTAGCACCGCCGCCTGCAGCCATGAAAGATCTTCGGTGGTGCATGAATGACGAAAGTCCGCCATGAGTGCGACTCTATGAAGATGTCCATTAATAAATCATGCTGCCACATTTCAATCACCGTTTCCTCGACTTCTCCTCGTCATGACCCGCTAACGAGGGCAGCACGCGAACGTGCCCAGCCGGCCAAACAAATACATCATGCACTACTCTCCATCGCACATTTTCCTAGCACTCCTCTTACTTTTTACCACATTGAAAGCTGGCTTCATCGAAGGGCGGTCGCAACCTGGTCCGACGCAGCGTATTGACAGCCCCGTCAATGCCGAACATGGCCAACGGGATTACTCTTATGATGGCCTCACCCACGACATTATAGAGAAGAAGAGAGGTGGCGACTACTCGTTTCAGCCTTTATTAAAACGGCAGCCATCATGTAATGACGGTCTAACGTCCTGCGGGACTGGGTGCATGCCAGAGAACGCCGAGTGCTGCAGTGGCAAGAGTTACTGCGATGCAGGAACTCTATGTATAGGCGGAGGTCGTTGCAGCTCGATTGCGGCCGCAAGTACAGATGTCTCTACGTCACCATCGCTATCGGATTTTGTGCCGACGATAATTCCTTCATCAACAACGGAAACGGATGCTCGATCTTCCATCATCATCGAAATCATCCGCACTATAACGGCGCAGCCTTTGGGCGGTATGTGGCATGTAGTGATGATGTTATATCCCGCTAACATGAATTGATGATGCAGAGAACATTAGCAACTCCGAAAATGGAACGACCTCGACAGGAATCATCGCCGGTGCCACTGTGGGAGGCGTGGTCGCGGGTGCCTTGGCCATGGGAGGACTATGGTTTCTCTTTCGGCGCCGAAAACGACGAACTGAACACCAAGGGGAGAACAGTGAGGTCAAGCCATCCGGACCTACGCCTAGCCAATTCTCATATCCAAAAGCCAGCCAGAAAGGCGGCAAGCCGACCACAGAGCTTGATTCAACGGACTTGTTGGAGATGGAGTGCCACCGATCCGCGATGAAGGGGCAAGCACATATAGCCGAGCTTGAACAGCCAATACAGCTGGCGGAGTTGGATGCTTCTCAGTACCCACATAGATAGAAATGCGTATGTACTAGCCATGTAGTGTGGAATTCATAAATCCCCGTTAGTAGACAAGACCAGCCACTGACCAGACATTGTACAGTCTGAACCTCGGATCAACGCGCTCAGGAGGATACGTAGAATGCCTTGCTCCTCGTCTTAGGCTATGATTTAGTGAATTTGGCCAGGTATATAAGGGATTAATTTACTAGGCATGATGCCGATCCTCATTTGCTCGATGTCATATCATTAGGCATATGACTTCAGCTATTGCGGATTTCAGCTCATCGATCGATGATATGGGTCTCTTCGGGTCTTGTATTCATAACCATTTACTAAAACCGGATCAGTTGATTCTCAAGTCAAAGATCGCCCCTTTTGAAGACTGGCGGGCGGTGAAGCTGTGTTAACCGATATGCATGAAGCGGTGAACAGTTCGTATTCAGAAGAATTTTCTCAGGTCATTCTCTTATTCCATCAGTGCTTACGAGGTTTGACAGAGTTGAGTCAGAGTCACTTTGCGTAACCGCCTTGCTGTAGGTTGTTTGAGCTTCGGTAAAGAAATTCAATCATTGACATCGCTTAACGTCGCGACAGGTGGTTTTAGGGACAATCCCGTATCCTAAAAAGTGACTTCCATGTTTAGTTACATATCAAAGTCATGAGATCTCGTGTAGAAATGCTCTCATGCAGGCAACTTGCAGACGGCAGCCTTGGCGGCAGCGCGAGACAGGCGTTTCCTGATCCTACTGCCATCTGTGGCACTATAGGTAGCCAGTGCTGGGTTTCGGTTCCTAGGTGCTTTATTACTGACTAAGAACAACTTCTGATGTCTGTTTCAAAACCATCGCTGACCTATTGCAACTGGCAAGTGGTGGCTCAACGTCATGCGTTGTGGCAATGTTGTTGGCACAACATTATAATGAGGAGGCAAAGCCCTTTGGTAACGAATGAATAATGAATAATAAGAGCAGAAAATCTGTTTAAATGCCGATCGTCTCGTATTTAGGTAGTGCCACGGGGGTTGGCATTGCCTATTAGGTCATGACAAAGGCTTGACTAACGCTTCTCCAGTCTACACCAGGACGCCGCACTCAATTCCAAATCGCTCAGCCCCGGGAATTCGTATCAGATATGCGGAGTCATTCGTTTCATTGCTGTCGACTCGGTAAAGGCGGCGGACAGCCAAGAAGCCATTGTGATGATCTGTTGGACAACAAATATATATAGGGGAGGCAAAACCCCCATCAAGAGAAAACAAATCAACTCACCAACGCTCTCAAAAGCCACAATACATCTCTTAGAACACCAATTACTCTCTCAACCGAATCAATATGCGTGCCTTCACCATTGCCGCCAGCGCTGCCTTTGCGCTCTTCTCAGTCGTTGCCGCCGACACTCCAAAGGAGGACATCTGGATCAGCGACTTCCTCGTCCGCAAGTCATCCACTGAGGCCGGCACTGTGATCAATCTGGTCGACTTCAAGATCACCGCGAACGATGTGACCGACCAGGGCTGCAGCGCTGAGCTTCCTGCTTTCCCCAACCCCACGGAGACCGTTGACTGCGGCTACAGCAAGTACCGTTTCAGCCTGCATCAGGGAACCGGCGACAACGAGTTTGCGCTCCGCATGTACCACGACTTTGCCCTCACGTGAGTTTTAGCCCCTATATATCAAGGCAATGTTTCCACCTCTAACCTGGTTATTCAGTGGTCTTTACTGGGGCGAGGGAGATGTTCCTGTTGTTTGCCGCGCCGGTGGCGCTGGACAGGGCGACTATGTCTGCACTCAAGTTACGCCCGTCGGTATCTTTGTCTACAGCAAGCCTCCTCCTGCTGATGCATAGAGAGGCCGATCACAAAATATGAGCTTTTCTGTGGTTCAGCAGCTGATAGATTGCAGTGCTCGGCTCTTCTGGGGCGTTCGTGGATAACCGTACGGGAGCCAGCAATCAACACCCAAATTCAAAATATCATTAGTGCATATACGATTAAATTTAGAATAGAGGCATCTAGAAAACGATGATTTGTTACTTTACTTTGGTCCAAAGTAAAATGCCAAAACTCAGCAGTTGGTTGATTCAACCTAACTGTCCCTTAGAATAACCTCTAAAAAAACAATCCACAAAACTTGATATGAATATCGATGCGAAATGAAATCTTTGAGAAAAGAAATTTGCCCAAATTCCAAAGCTAAGGTTAAAAGTAGGAGTCGAATTCACCCAGGTTATATGACCTTTTTTCACCCGGAACATCGTGAAATCTTCATCGTGATATAGATAGCATCTGCGCTATCACCATTGGCTTGCTTTCTCGTGGAATATGGACATATGAAAGAAAAACCTTGGGGATTTGATTTATCACCCTCTTGGTAGCTGTTTAGAAGACTCAAACTTGGGTGATGTAGAGCTTAGTGTTCTATAGGGTAGTTAAAATGTGGAGTGTGAGCGATTGAAGTTGGGACTGATCGAATTTCCTTTCGAAGTGGCGCGAGTACAGGGTAAGACGTGAAAATAGGCCTCGGAACACCAGCCACTCCAGCCACTGTGGCTCGAGCAGGTACCCCTTGAGAGGAGCTGCGCCACTCGAAAAGCAATGTGGCTCAAGTCCTACTTCAATTCCCTTTGCGGCTTCGCCCATTGGCCCTGCGACTGTAGGCCGAAAATGTGGATGCTAACTCTTGGTCCTGGACGTCCTGAGCCTAAGCCAAGGACCAAGTGCTGTCATACAGTCCTACAGACAATGAGATGTGGCTTTCTCAAAGGAGAAATATCTTTAAATGTAGATGTCGCACGTTAAACTTATGATTATGCTGCTTTCCAAAACTTGCGACTTGATTATCTACCTAGTTAAATCCCACAGTCCCCGTCCTGAACGAATGGATTCTCAGCAGTCTCAAGAGTTGATCGAAAAGACAAGCACGAGAGCTAAAAATCGTATCGCGACCATATATTTCAAATTGTTTATATGCGCCGTCGGTAGATGGGTTGCGTCTTTAATTTCTATCAGCCTCGCAATCGCTGTCCTCACACAGAACCCGGAGCAACGTTTATTGATTGCGGCTGCATACAATATCGCCGTGGTATGTTGAGTGCCGGGGGTAACATGCCTACTTCATTACTGACATGTATTTAGGGAGGACTGCATTTATGTCTTGCTTTGGTTTTAGCTGCGAAACCTCAGGGAAAAATGAATCCGCGACCTCAATCCTGGTACTACCTACTTGTGATTCTCTCCTCTCTGATCAGCCTACCTGCCATTCTTTTGATGTTTTTGTTCCGCGGGGTAAGAGAAAATGAGAATGCGGGAAAGGAGAATAGTGATATAGCCAGTATGGGAATTTCTGAGAGTGTTGTCATCGCCTGTGGGTGCATGGGCATTATCGTCCTGTGAGTGGCCCTAGCGATTGGCCAATACTTTTTCTTCTAATGAACTCTTAGGATCTGGAATTTGGGCCAGTGTTACTATATGTATGAGCTGGAATATACAGACTTCCCAGTGGGAGAACTTCAGGAAGGCTACGCTCAAGTGGTGCAGAAATCTAAGCGACAGTCAAAACAATTCGTGACTACAATTATTTGACTCGAGTCTTCTCTCTCGCTGCTTATTTGGTAGATTGTATCGCATAAAAGATAAATTGGTCAAATATTTGGGTTCACATGATACATAGAACGCAACATGCCTTCTTAATATCCGCTCATTAGCTGGAGAATGCCTACTTTTTCTCTTTACTAGACTTTGCCGAATGGGACATTATGTGGAAGTAACCTGGGAAGAATAAACATAATTCGATGAAGAGAGGATTTCATTTGATACAACCTTTGAGGTTTGATGTCTTAACTAACTCTCGTTCGCTGACAAGCTACTGGAAGGTTATGCTATACCTTCCCCCACTTACTTTGATCACCTCATTGATTGGCAGGGCTTCGCCATTGAGCACGACGCTGTTTATGTCCCTTCCGATATCGGGTAGACATATGCTACCCCCAGTACCGTCAGGAACTTCAACCTCCAAAGCCAGAGAATCTATGGTTTCGGTACCAGACTTTTCCCATGAAACCTTGATGCTCTCACCATTTCCTGTTGGCACCACACCTTTTGCCCAGCTCAGCTCACCTTTCACAACTGGGCAAATGCTCCACGAACTAAATCCTGAGGCTGTTGGCTTAACTCCGAGGACGTAGTTGCTCATCAGTGGCACTATGCCCGTTGACCATCCGTGCGAATATGACATAAACGGCCCTTGATACGAGATGCCTCCCGGGCCTATGCCTTCCCACTGCGTGACACCGGGGTCATGTGTGGCCATCCACCCGTAGAGCCGACGGAGCTCATCGTACGCCGAGTTTTCGCTTCCTGGGGTCGTAAACCGGGCTGTAAGTTCAAAGTAAGAGGTTAAGGCATAAACTCTCTCGTCGAATCGATCACCAGGGCCAAGGACACTGCTGTCATAAAATGCGTTTCCATATGGCAATGCAGTGGCGTTCGCCCAGTAGTCGAGTATCGCGGTGGATAGAGTATCGTTTGTCACCCCAGCCAGAATTGCAATGGAGTTACCATCCTGCGCATGGACATTGCATATGCTTCCAGCTGGCTCATTTGGGCATGGCCCTCCGTCGAAGAATGCTCCAGTAGAAACATCGAAGTTCCGGGCGATGAGATTACCACCCATCGGCTTGGCTCGCTCAGTCCATCTGCTGGCATCGTCGTTGTGTCCGAGTTCGGTCGCCAGCTGAGCCGCGTGATTGAGCGCATGAATGTACAATGCGTTGTAGTAGGTGATTGGGCCGGATCTTGGCAGGAAGGCATAGTCGCCATAACCTATCGAGGCGGACTTGTCTAGAAGTCCTAGATCGTTATTCGTGTGCGCCGGATAAAACTCATCGAGAGTTTTCTTCAGTACGTCCCAATAGTGCTCAGCGTAACTGGTATTCCCAGTATACAGGACGAGGTCAGCGCTGCAAACCACCCACCATAGAGGGTAGTCAAAGAGAGGCAGTGTGTAATTGACTCTGGCTCGCAGGCTAATGTTAGCGAGCAAAACGGAAAATGCATTCCTTGGGCCTTGACATACATGCTGGCTGGAGGGATCCATCCGTCGTCTCGTTGATGAATGGCGAGATCTTCAAGAACATTGAAACTCGCCTCGGGGAAATCGTGCGAAAGATATAGAGTCAGCGCGGCAATTGCGAGGTCGCCAACATACGGATCCCGATCGCGTTTCGCACCGTCAAGCAGAACCCATTTGCCGTCCAAGGTTGGGCTGAATGCGTCTCTGGGCTCAGTCTCGTTCTTGAGAAACAAGTCGATATTTGTCTCAACGGTATATACTCCATCAAACCACCACTGGCTAATGTCTGGGTCGGAGCATTCAAACCATCCGGCGAAGCTTTCTGGAGGTCCAAGGTATCCAGACCACTCAAGATCAACTAATGAAATAGAGACCGAGCCAGTTGATGATGTGTATGGAGAGTCAGACTCGAGAGCGTCCAGCCATATCTTCACGTATCGGAAGCCGTGGAGGCCATCTGCACACACCTGACGGCCATGCTCACATCCTAGAGTGTTGGTCCAGGTGTATTTCTCATTCTTAACGGCAATCTGCAAGTTTACTGCTATTAGCGTTGGCTTCTGGGTGGCTGGGGTACAGGAAGGATATACCTGGTCAGTGCCGTCTGTCAATATGTCTTCCTATACAGCCATTAGCAATTTATCTTGCAAAACTCATCGCTGAGGGAATTATCACGTCATAGATGCCGCGATAAGAGCGAGTATAGTCACTCTTGTTGTCGCTTAGAGCATCCTCGGTCTCGGAAAAGGCCAACCGTAGACCTGGAAGGCTATCCGAGGAGCTACTTGAGCCTTCAATATGGATTCTCAGCAAGCCCACGACATTCAACCCAAAATCAATTACGACCGAAGGAGCCTCTTCTTCGGCTTGACTTCGTGTGAAGACGGTAGTCTGGCTGCCGTCAAGCAAGCCCTCAGGATTGGTGACATTTCCAGCTGTTTTCTCTGCCAAAATTCGAACCGGTTTAACATCCGAGGAACCCGGAGATCGCACATACTTGTGCCAGTTGGTGTCAGACCAAGGGTCCGTGCTCGACTGGCACACAGTCACGGAGGCCAGGCTGAGAATCGAAAACCAAGTCTTGTTGACCATCTTTGGTGTTCTTGTTTTCGATACAGTTGGAACATTCAAGCATCGGCTGAATAAATTGGGAGTGAGAAACTAGTTTATATAGACCACGCCTTATGTGATGGGGAAGTGATCGCCCGGGTCGTTGTTCAACCGAAGTGCGGAGTTGTGAGGCGACCTTCTGAATGTGGCAAGTTCTACATGTTCGGCAGTCAGCTTCGGTCACGTTCATAGCGAAGCCTTTCCGTTTAGACCTGGGTTCAGGGTCGAAAAATTAAAATACGTCGAAGAAGCATTCGACGAAATAGCGAAACAACAGACTTCCCCACACTACCAGCACACCTTCAACTCCATGCACTGTCTGACGTCGTGCAACGACTTTGTTTTTTGTCATTAATTCAAATGTGGAGATAAGAGCAAGGAGACATAGGACCAGAGCAGCTATCGCCCTCTAAGGGTTGGAAAGGGCGATCGAAATAAATTGCTTGAGACCATTAGCCATGCCTATCGCGCGCGAGTAAGCTACCTTCCGCCAACCCGGAAGGGTGTGGAAGGGACTGAGAATTTCCCTCGCCACGCGTTCCATAATCACTTATTTGATCTGACAGGACAACAACCACTATACCGTTTCTGCAGCGCTTGCTTCAACAACTAAGAAAACATACGTTGATGTCTTAGTCCGATGTGATAAACGAAAGTGGTATATGAGTACTCCAGAATTTGACTCATAGATGCGGTTGGTGGTCTAAACATCACACAGCTCCATGCCAAGAACCGGTCAAAGATGGAGAGAGTCCAGGCTTAATACTCTTTGATAGTCAAAGTCAGCCCCAAACGCCTACAACCCGTTGGCTTCACAAGATCGGGATATAATTGGCTCGCAGCAGACTTTAAGGTAATAGATTGCGGGCTAGAAGAACGACTAGCAATAAGCTGAAGTGGATGGTGGGAGTCTAGACTCGTTAAGGTACATAAAGTTGATATTGGCGGCACACTTCTTCATGCGCTAGATATGCGCGTGTGGTAAGAGATGTGATGAAAAAGAGAATCTCCCCGGAGCTCTCTCTCCTGTTATCTCAACATTTACGCAGGTGTAAAGAAGAGAAAGAACCATCCACAGAAGCATCAATGTACTTCAAACCAGCGGTTGGGTGGGCGCCGGTCGTCGTTGCAGCCCTCGCGGGGGTTGTTGACGCTCAATCAAGCGGGTGTGCTCCCTACCAGCGTTATGTTTCGGCCCTCAAGAACTTTGACTTGCCTTTCGTATCAAAAGCTTGCAGTTCTTTGCTCCATTATTCGGCTGCAACCCAAACAGTCACGCAGACAGCTACGGATACCAAAACGATTAATGTTGCAACAACCACTAATTTTGTTGCCGCCCAGACACGAATAGTAAGACAGGGACCTAGATAGCAAGTTCGGAGTAGTTCACTGACGGCTCAACTCATACAGCGACGTGCTACTCAGACCCTCACCACATCTACAACAGTGAGTTGAATCGAGGGAATTCTGCAAGCCACACTAATTAAACTATCATGAAGCAAACCGTCACACTGACAAATACTGTCACCTCCTACAAATAGTACGTCTCAAATGTATCTGGCCATTGGCTCTTGTTGGCTCAAAGTCTAGCTGCAATGCTAAACAGTTTGCAGCTCAGTCGTTACACAAACATCAACGTTCGGGGCCGCAGTGACCCCCCGCGCCGTGGGGCAAGATTCTGAAAAACCATGGGGTGTATTTGGACTTCCCGAGTCGGTTGTATCTCAAGCCTGCTCATGCTACATTCCGAAACCAACTGGGGCTGTCATGAAGACCAAGACGGTAACAGAAACCAGCCGGCAGAGCGTAACCGCAACTATTACAAAGGTAATTATGTGCCATAACACATTTGTGCAGGTGACTAACTAAGATGATATAGACATCGGGGACATTATTTACGACGCAGACGGTCACCACTACGCAAACCAACTTTGATGTCCAGGGCGTATACACATATGTAGGAAGCATCCTCCATCCCCACCTTGCATGACTGTCTTGTCCTAAACACTCGCCCTACAGATTACGGAACACCCCGATTCCACCCTTACCGTAACCGTAACAAGCTGCTCCGGAACCTATCCGAAATCAAGCTTCAACGTCCAAGTCTCCGATATCACCGCGACGCGCACCGATAGTTACAATAATCTATACGCTACGCCAGCACCGTACCGTGGACTCCCAGACCTCCCTTTCTACGCTCTAAATTACGTCCCAACGAAGCCTCAAGCCGTCGGCGGAGGTCTCTTCAATGTTGATTGTCTCGGGCGAATTCACGTACAAGCACCAGGAGGAGGAAAGGTTCTTTACGCCGCCGTGTCCCCATATCAGCCAGGGTTCGAGATGGTCTACTGGCTGTAAGTTATCCCTGCCTTTTCATTCATTCTGCAAAGAGGCTATTTGGTTTGACCGTCGGAAGCGACATCCAAGCTAGTGCGTCATCCGTTCGATATGTTGACAACAAGTAGTGACCAATTTGAGATAACAATCCGGAGCTATATTCACGTATATTGCTCGGTCGGTACCGGTGGGCTCTTGGACTGTACCGTGCCTCAACCACCTTCGATAGGTGATTTGACGATGTTCCAGACATGTCCTATTTACGATGAGTGGTTCTACTCGCCGTTAGTGATTGCGAATCGCCAATCGCCTGACGCTCCGGAATGCTATGGATTGAAGTTCAAGACTGTATGATGTGCCATAGCATACAGCTAATTAGGAAATAAAGCCAACACAACTGAATGAATTTAGGGTGTTGAGTTGAAAATCTAAGAAACAATATCCTTCACATGAGCGGGATGGCGTGGTGGTAGCGAGGTTTATCAAAACCGCCCTGCCCTTTACTCTTGTATTGACCATGCGATTGATCGTCAGTATAGAGTCAAGAATATGAAAGAAAATGGAGGTGCCTAGACCAATGCTCACAAAATCACAAGGGTAGCACGAGATAGTTTGTGCAAATGTATATAGTCTATATGTCTATAGGAGGTTGTCACTTAAGCCTATACTACATAGAACTAGAATGAATGTTATCACCAGCCTCCAGAACTCGCCAGTATTCTTCCGCTCCCTTTACCCCGTATGTAGCCCATGTCATCTTATTTGTCTATTCCATGAGCTCATGTTAAGGCAGAGGACTCTCGAGACTGGCAGCAAGGCCTATAAAAGTCTCCAATAACCAGATTGAGAGCCTTTTAAGAGTCAAGTAGCCACCAGTCTTATGGCCCTTTCCTTTTGATTCATGTTTGATGATACCTAAGAAGAAAGTATCTTCCATTGTGAAGTTACTCTTCGTAAAGCTCCATAGCCTCATCAAAGGATCGAGGCCTCCTCCTGCCAGCCGCCTTGGCCTTGGGTCCTTTGCCGGTCTTCAATCTGCGACCGCCGCCAGGCCCCATTGGTCTGGGGAAGGGGTTCTTGTTGCGGTTCAAGAACATACCACCAACTTTAATACCAGGGAGTCTGCGGGTCTCCAGGAAAGAATCCTCATCGAAGTCGCGAGCATCAAAGTTGAGTTCGGAAAAGTCATCCAGGATATCCCTGGAATCAAGGACAGAGTATTCATCATCCAGAGATCGGCGGCCCTTCTTCTTGGGCTTGCTGTTCTTCTTGGCCTTATGCTTTTGGTGCTTCTCTTTGGCCTTGTGCGAGGCGCCCTCCTTGGCACCCTTCTTAGCACCCTTCTTGGCTCCTTTCTTGGCGGCTTTCTTCGCCCCGGCCTTGACACCGGCCTTGATGCCAGCTTTGGCAGCCAGTCCAATAAGAGGGAAGAGACGCTTGTCTAGGGCAGCCAGATCCGAGTCGTCGCCATTCAAGACGGCACGAGCTTCGATATCATCAAGGTCCCTGGTCTCGGGGATGGTCGTGGAATCATCCATGACGTCCCTGGCTTCCATGGAGGCATCATCCCCAGACGGACCGGAAGAGGCAACAACATTGCCCAGCGTGCTCAGGATGGCAATTCCGGCAGCAGTAAAGTGAGTAACACCAACCATTGTGAATGAATATTGCGTAAGTTGGTAAATGAAGGGAATAAATTTTGTATAAAGTAGGGAGTGTTGTAAGGAAATGAGGTAGTATCAAACAGAGAAGTAATGAAAACCAAACTTGTTACCAATTGGTAAGGAAGCTTGAAGAGTAGATGAAAGTGAGCTGATTGAGAGAGGATCCTGCTACGACTGGGAGCAGATCAAGGTACAATATATACCCAACTACCAGTCCGTTCTATCTCTAGAAACTTAGAACTTATCTTTGCGACAGTTGCATCCAATGTGCCACTTGATGCTACCTGTGCCACTTGATGCTGTCCATTTGGGCAAATCTATGTACGCTGGGTTGCCATTGGGGGCGAAGCAAGTGCTCAGCTTCACATGCTGAGAGATTAAAATAAGCACATAACCATCGATTCTCGGGCGAATGCCACCAACAGAAGTTCAATTCCGGGGATTTGAATGATGGAGGGAAGAAATCTTAGCACTAGAAGCGGATTGATGTTGCATAGCAAGATGGTGCGAGATCTTTATTAAGAGATGTTGGTGGGCTGAATATTACAATAGCACAAGGATACTCGCCCCCGATTTAGATTACGGTCCCTGTCATGGCCCCTGTTACTCCAAGCAAGCATAATAATGTGGGCTACCAGGTGGTGAGACCGAGCGAACCACTGAAGGTCAGTCCCTTGCTGACATGCCGAACAACCCGGGAGAGCTAAGATTCTCTTGGAAGCATCTTTCAACCGCCGAGGCTGAATCCCTTTACAATGTAGTACATGCAGCAGGTTGTCCCTGCTGGGATCGGACTTTTGTAAGGCTGAACTTAGTTTCCTATCTCGTTGAATCCGATTCGGAGCGTTTAACTAAACAAGAAACTTCGAAAGATGTAGCAAGACTCGACTCCAAGAACTCGCTTTTATCAGTCGGCCACGCTGGTGTATCGCAGACTTCAAATAAAAACTCGAGAGTGTACCGTCCAATAACACTACTTGTAACACCTGTGGGTGACTACAGCAGATGCAAGGCTTTGCCTCAGTGACCTGGCACACCCCCTCTTCTACCTCTTGTGGGACATATCTTTAATTTCTTATCGGAGGGACGAGCGTGCCTAAACCTTTGGGACAAAAGGTCCATCCTCACCGGAGATAAAGTTTCATGCATGATGGCCAACAAACCCATCATATTTATAGGATAAAGTGCACCATATTATGTGATTAACTCGATGTCCGTCCGCTTCAAACCAAGTTCGCCTTTTGCCCGGAGTAATAGCTCTGTAGTCTGTAGAGTCAGATTATTCAGAAAGACCAGGACTTCGGAGTCCGCACCAAGTTGCCGAAACTGAGGACTGTCAGAGCACATTTCCATCTAATGGGGAAACAAAGAATGATGGAGGGTCGCCCTTTCTTACCACCCAGTGACTGGCGAGGCGTCCATTCGTCACATGGCGCAACAAACCGAGTTTGCCTTCTCCCTTTGCGGGAATAAGCAGAGGCACAAGAAGGTGTCAAAACCCTGGCACGGTCTCGTTGGATACTACCCCTTTGGTCAGCTACACTAATGCCCCCGGTCTTATTTCAGACAGTCTGTATTTCGCTTGCGTCCATCTTCTGCCCTCCGACAAAACCTGAGCATACACCTTGACACCCTTTGATAGCTACAGTGGTTGCATGAAACGTGAATCGGCATGGGTTGCGGGCAATAAGCCACTAGAAATTCTCGTGGCGTAAATACAGTAGTATTTCGGGACTTGAAGGTCACATTCGGCTGATTCTATGAACAGAGAATCCCTCCGCCAGCGTGCTTACGTGTGTTCACTTTTTTGCTTCACCAGGAAGGTTACAATCCGCGGGATTAATGCTGTAATCAAGATGATGAATCACAAAATACTTTTCAGCAATGAGTTACCGCGCGCGTATCGTGTGTTTCTAATGCGCGTGTGGAATTATTTGCCTGCAAAATCCTTCTGGCTTGGGAGGAGGAATGGAGGCGGAGGGCTTCTTGGACAAGTCATACGACATTCTCCACGGAAAGATTTCCACGGAAAGATTCATGACGGTTGAGAATAGCAACTGTAATACTACCATTGTCTAATAGCCGTCCAACGCAAGAAAGAATTGAACCTATTTCTAAATGGCTATGACGGTCATACGTCGCTCTATGAAAAATGATGAACAGGGGCCAGTTAGCAGGTATTCGACTCTGGCTGACGATAGTATCAAGACGGTAAAGGACAGAGATTAGCCAAGCTAAACACCGAAGAATAACATTCAATCACCGTCTTAATCCTTCTTCTGCTTGTTCTTGCCCTCATCCTTCTTCTCGTCCTTCTCATCTTCATCCTCCTCGTCATCATCAGACCCACCAGTGGGCTTGGAAGAAGACTCGGAGGTGGAGGTAGCCTTCTCATCCTCATCATCGGCACTGGCAGATGTGGGAGAAGAACTGGACTTGGAGGTAGATGTCGTCTTCTCCTCGTCATCACCATCGGCAGACGTGGGAGAGGAACCAGACTCCGAGGTGCGAGTAGCAGCTGGAGTGGTGGCCGCGCTGCTCGATCCGCCAGAGCTACCACCTCCACCAACGTTGGAGCAGGCGCCGATCTTGGTTGGCTCACTTCCATCAGTGACACCCTCGTAGTCAACACACTCTTCATCGACTCCGCTGGTAGTGACACCAGAGATGCTAGCCGTATCGCCCATGTTGGAGTTAATGCCAACGAGGACATCACCGTTGGTGGCTGAGCCACCAGAGACGATTACATGACGTGCAGGCATCTCATCACAGTTGCCACAGCTGCGGTAGAGCTTTCCAAAGTCAGAGACAGTGAAATCGTTGATAGACACGGTTCCACCGCCATTGTGCTGAATGACCTTGTCACTAGCACCGGTAGCACCACCACCATTGATAGTAGTAGTCTCGCCATCAGCCTGCTCCTTGATACTGAAGGCATCCTCGCAAACAGCGTCCCACCAGACGTTGGTGATCGAGCAGCCACCGTTGCAATGAACACCCTCAATCTGGTTAGGGCCTACAAAAAGAAGTCGTCAGCCAACTCATTCTAGCATAGGGAAGAAAAGGTCTAAAAGGCCACGTACCGATGATAACGTTGGATAGAGAGGCGCCGCTCTCAAGGATGAACACAGCGTCGGAGCTGCCTCCTTCGGATTGGCCTGTGCAGCTAGTACCACGATCGTACATGACATTGCCACCATCAAAGGTTTCACCGGCAGCGATGGTCATTGGGGCGTCAAGAACACTGCTGCCAGCAGCATCGGGTTGTTGACGCTTGGAGAGGTCGCGAATGGCTTTGGGAGCCTGTGTGATCTGCGGTTGGGCAGGGAAGGCGTGCGCGGTGCCAAGGGCCATCGAGGCCACCATGATCATGCGATACTGCATCTTGAAGGAAGTGTTGGGTGTTGTTGATTTGGGATAAAAATTCCGACTTAGGTAAATGCGAGAATAGTCCAGTAGTCAAGCCGGCTTGAGAATCTGGTTCAGAGTATATCGCGAGATGTTCAAGCACAGCTTGCAACGATAGAATGAGCTCTAAGGAAGAACGAAAGGATGAGATTGTTGAGGAGGCTAGGGAAGACAGTCAGAAGAATATTCATCAACAGGAATGATCGAGGGCTTTATAGTTGAGATCGATTAACATCTTTCCATTGCGCTCAGCCGTGGTCAATACTCCGATTCTGGCCATCGGGTTCTGCCAGGGGTATCCTCCCACTTGCCGGTGAAAGCTCGTATCACACATACACCCATCTCCCGTCTGATGACGTTTGCTCAGCAGTTCCGGGTGCAGGGGGCGTTTGAAAGCTTGTTCCATCCCTTATTCCCACCTTGATGCTGGGTTGTGGCGGCCTCCCAGCGGCGGTTGCTATTCCTTTGTTGTTACACGCTTTCTCTCAGAACTATCTTATTATTTTGGTATATACACCGCGCCCGCTCTTCCCATTCTTCTCCTGTGTTTTTTTCCGCTGTCCGAATACTCGCTCTATCCAAAATACATAATGATATGCACCATTGTTAGACAAGCGTTGTTTCATAAAAAGAAGCATAACAGTGAAGATTGATGGTTGGTTCCCACATTTCCCGGACAGAGGCATTCGTCAGCACAACCTCTCCCAGTGGAAACCTGAAACGCGATCCTGGTTTGGTTTAGAAGATAACCATCCCGTTGGCCCGTTGCATACGTAACCATTGTCCTACCCACTGATTGATAGCAGTGTAGTGCAACCTTTCAGGAGTGTCTTTGAAACAGCAAGCGCCAGCCCCAGAGAAAAGAGGCAGCCAACTCGAACCCTGCAACTCTGGAACTGAGAAAAGCTTGTCTTAAAGCTTGTTCCACTCAATTTACGCGGAACGACACCCACCGCTACACAGAAGGGAATGGCCTCCGACAAGTTATCTCCTGCACCCCGCCCCTAAGTTGATCTTTTCCCAGTCAGTCACCGTTGAAAACTTTCCTTGGGTCATCGTGTCTCGTGTCTTGGCACTTTTATTTCACGGAATGTGGCAAGGAGGCAGCCCGCGAGCCTCAACCCCTGACCCGCGGGCAGGGCCACGTCAAGCCTAATATCTAGACTTATATTAAGGTGGCAGGATTAAATGAAAGCAGCCAATCGACGTCGGATTTACTCCCAACAAGCTTTTCCCCCACGTTTTCGAGTCGTGAGGATGATGATCTGTGGGGTCTCACGTTTGAAACTGAACGGTCTGCACCAGCAAAGAGCAATCAGGCTCCCATCATATCATTTCACTACGGGTTGGAGTGGGAGAGCACGGGATTGCGCTCCGAACTTCCTAACATGTATCCACATTCGGGGAACATGACGACAGAAATGTCAATACACGTAATACGCCACGTCTGAGGTTTAATCGACACTGGGGATTCCATGTTATATCTTATTGGAGGACCAGTACACGAAAGTAGCTGGAATTTGGTTTGGAAAGCTGAAAAACTTGGATCACATACGAGAGTAATTTATTAGTTTTGCAATGAGCGGTAGTTAGCTTGCCTTAGACCACGAGTCAGCTTTCCCATGACGGATCATCAACTATACTGAAATTTTGAATCGTCATTGCCTTGGGATGAAATCTCCCCTCGTCTAGTCTTCATGGGTGATACATTGCCTTGGAAGTCTGACGTTGAGTTTCTGACGGCGTTATTCATCGACAGTAACGGTGGTCCTTGGGGACGGCGAGGACGAGCTAATAATTACATGGCAATCGGAGATACTTCTTCGGTAAATGGGTATTATTTATGCTGATCTTAGCAGTAATGAGTGGTATCGCGTCACGGTGCAACTTGGCCGTCATGCAATACAGATATGTTCTTTACCAGGTACTTGAGTCACCTCAGCTCTAGTTGAAAGAAATCATATGCACAAGTCACCTGCGAGGCTCACTCACCTACTACAGAGGGGAAAAGTGATTCTATGAGATGTATCTACCCTATGACAACCATCTATTCCACCTCTGGTCTGACAAGGTGGCCATTGTCAGCGCCATATCTACAAAAAGAGGCAGGCTGGCCACAATTACTGTCCCTGGCAAACCTGACCCTTCTATTTTAGGCACTTTATTGACTGTAATATCAGTCTGGCATGGATGGGAAGCCAATGAAATACCTGTTGTCAGTGAGAGAGCTGTGCAGTTTTGAGGTAGCTGCTGAAAAAAAGGGGGGAATTCCCAAACGCCCACAATTTCACAACTTCATACCATACGTAGTATCACAACGCGTTATCCAACGAAATACGTAGCATTGAGATTTTCAACTGATCCGTGCAAGATATGACCCAGGCAGTGTTTTAAGGACTATTGTTGACCCCATGACCTGGCCATGCACGTCGCATTGCCGAAGCGAGGAAAACAACTAGAAAGGAAGGGATCGCCTCAGCCAAGTCTAACAGCGAGACTAAGGATTTTCTGAAGAGAATGGATTGATGTCCTCGTCGCTCAAAGGATTAGCTAGGCACCAATGGCCGCTTTGTTGACCGCCAACCTTGTAGCTAGCACTTGAGGTATTGCTAAATGGGCTCATTGTGCGTAAGAGGAAGATGAGAAGATCCATGATAGGCCTTTGAGCTCACAGCCTAATGTCTCGGGCTGGGCTCAATGTTGGAGCATGCAACGTCAATAAATCACTAATCCAACCACATTCATGATATCTACATTCCAGTTAGTACCGATCACTGCGCACGGATGTCAGATTCATGAACGGCCAAGTACACACGTCAGCGATACTAACCAAAGGCTTTAGGGCCGTATGATCTTCGCATTCGTCGCATTTCATCGCATTCTAGCTCGGTTTTGGAAGAGAAGTCATAGTTGACACAGCCTTTGGAGGTATCTTACCGGCTGCTAGCGATTCGGGACATCTATAAGTAGGCAGGCGCCCAGAGTATAGATCCAAGATTTCAAGGCCACAAGCTCAATTCTACTATTCACTTACGCAAGATCATACAGTCATGCTATTCAATATTTTTACAGTTCTCGGCGGATCGGTTGCCTTTGCAATTGCAACAGCAAACCAAACTCGCCTTCCTCTTTGTGTATGTCTATCAAAAATTCCTCCTCTTCTTACTTCCTAGAGGCTGCAAATAAGATGTTAAGCGAATACTCACCAAAAAATACCTTACAGTGCGATGCGCTCGAAAGTATCGCTGAGCTCCGCGGCAAGGTCTACTTGTCTGGGTCAGATGCCTATGCAGACCGGATAGACACTTACTTTTCCAAGAGTGCGGCCCTGGAGCCATGGTGCATGGTGCTACCTTCAACAACCGAAGACGTGTCCCTCATTATCAAGGCTTTGGTCGCGAATGAATGCCCTTTTGGCGTTCGGAGCGGTGGGCATAGCTCGCATCCTCTCTCCAACAGCGTAGAGAAGGGCATCACGGTAGACTTTGGTATGTTGCATACGCCGAGAACCGTTCTGGTATTGCCCATCGTACATTATTGACGGTCTTTTGTCCTAGGTCACATGAACGCAACCACCTGGAACTCGGAGAAAGGCCTCGTGTCCATCCAACCCGGCAGCCGCTGGCAGGACGTATACGACGTGCTCACACCTCACGGTATCACCGTCGCGGGAGGCCGTGTCGGTTCCGTCGGCGTGGGCGGCTTGCTCAGCGGCGGTGGCATCTCCTTCTTCGCCGCCTCGCACGGATGGGCTTGCGACAACATCGCCAACTACGAGGTGGTGCTTGCTGACGGCTCCATCGTCTACGCCAATGCCCAGGACAACCCGGACTTGTGGCAGGCTCTCAAGGGAGCCAGCGCCAATCTGGGTCTCGTTACGCGCTTCGACATGCTCCCAATTGAGCTCCTTGGCCCCTCGGAGGGAACTATCTGGGGAGGCAATCTGATATTCGGACCAGCGTCGGGGAATGATCTTATTGGCGCCCTAGTACAGTTTACTGATAACGTGCACAAAGACGAGAATAGTTCGGTCAGTGTGTCCTTCTCGTACCAGCCCAAATTGGCGGGAGGTATGGTAGGTCTGGTTTCCATTGAAAACACCCTCGCCTTGAGCAAGCCACCGGCTTTTGACGGTTTCTACGGGATTGGGGCACCCCTTAACGACACCACCAGGGTTGACACCATGTCGGCACTCTCCAGGGAGCTCTCAGAGGGTCAACCCACGGGATTCCGGTGAGTATAAATCATTCACAAACATAGATAGTATCGGCATTCATCAGTTAACCGGGGTGGCAGCAACATGTTCATCACTGCATCGTTCAAGAATGACCCACGACCGATGAAGTACGCCCTTGACAAGATCAATAAATTCAACGCCGAGCTCGAAGAAATCACCCAGACCCTAAACGCAAACTTCACAACAGTTTATACCGTCCAGCCTGTCACGAAATCCATCGTTGAGAAAAGCATCGCCAAGGGGGGCAATGTTATGGGTCTAGATCGCTACCTTGGTGATGGAAACGGCATTCTGTTCCTGCTTATTGTATCCACAGACGACGCTGAAGTGGAGCGGCTGGCGATGCCCAAGGCTCAGGCGCTGGTGAGAGATGTTGAGGCTTACGCAGAGAAACTGGGTCTGGGACGGGAGTGGAAGTACCTGAATTACGCGCACGGGAGTCAAGATGCAATTGCCACAGTTGGTGAGGAGGCACTTGGCAAACTGCAGGCTGCATCGGCAAAGTACGATCCCAGTAGAGCTTTCCAAAGGCTGCGAACTTCGGGGTTTAAGATCCCGCAAGACGAATGAAGGTAGAAGATAGTGGCCTGGGTGGTGAGACTGCAGATGAAAGAGTTAGACTTGGGAGAGGAGAGTCTTCATATATAAGAATCTTGTAGCACCCTTTCACTATCATGACCCGGAATCTGCCTGCTTTTTAAGGCACCTAGCCCCAATCTATCTTTGTTGAATACATTAGGCATCTAGTGGCAACAGTGAATTCTCGTGATTGACTATTGCACGTGAACGGGAGTATTGATTCATACAATAACTAATTTACAGATGTATAGAACAGGGCTTTATTTTATTCCGGCATTCCCACTCCGAAACATGAGATGTTAATTAATTCACGGAAGACATGGCAATGAAATATCATCTTCAATAAATGCTGATAACAATCATATCAGAGGCGACCCAAAACAAAGTAAAAGGCAAGGACTATTGCAAAAGCTACAGAACTACACGATCTGGAAATAGCATGTTCAATCTGCTTCCAATGAAGCCCTTATTCCAAAACAAACGTACATGACATCCAAGAGGGTCGCAAAAAGTAAGTGCATGGGTGAAACTATTCTCCCTCAGGTTTGCTTTCCTCCTCATCCTTGCGCAGATTTTCTCTGGCCTTCACTAAAGCCTTTCCCAGCAAGTTCTGGCCCCATTTCTCACGGCTGGTCATAGTCCTCGCCCTCTTCTCACCAAACCCAATTCCCCAGACTCTATCCCTCGGTGCGGCCTCAACCAGCTCACGATCGCCTGTCCCCAAAAGCATGGCCCGCAAATCCCCGTTCTGGCCAAACTTGGCGGTGCTGCCGAGCTCGACGACTTGCCTCTTGACCGCGTTCCATTTCTGATCGGTGAAGTTCTCCACCTTACGGCCCAGGGACTTTTGCTCTTTCGGGCTCTGCGATCTCAGGATGAGTGCGGCAGAGTTCGGGTCATGGAAGCAAATGGCTTTGCTGTACATCATGAACTGCTCAGCCCTATTGAACGTCACGAGCTCTTCTTTCTGCTCTGCGGACAGAGATGGGACTGTCTGGCCCACCACTCTGAGGATCTCGGCCTTGGGTACGGTGAATGCGGCTGGGAAGAACTGACTGAAGGCGCCATACTTGTGATCGACGCCGTACCAAAAGATAGGGCCATCGCTGTCTGCGGGCTCCTCAGGTGTAGCGGCTCTCTTTCTCTTGGGCATTTCGACAGGACGGCGTTGCAATGCGCCTATTCAATTAGACAATCTGGGAAGATGAGATGAGAACTAGATAGGGACGCGAATAAAGTCATTGATAACGACACCAGAAATACAAACTTAGGTGGCAGGCTGACACGCGTTAGCCAAGGCAGATTTGTTGATGTTGATTTCAAAGATGACTCATTCCCAGGCTGCCATTCCGGCTGTCTGACTTACCCTGTAGATCCAGCCATTACTCACAATATGCGGTTCCATGGCTTAGAAAGTCTACATGTCGGTTTTGTTAGAAAAGAGATATCCAAACAAATTTGGTTTACTTGCACAATCAATGAAATCATGTTGCTTCAAGATTATCTATAAGCTTTAGTTTGAAATTCGTAGAACAGACGCCCCCAGCTTGCGTGCATCAGGCATGGACTGAGACGTTTCAATGAACAATCACTGGCTAGGGATGAAGTCCTCATAATAAACTTTTAAGGTTAAGCTTTGATTCCCCATGTGGCAAGGATGGACAATTCCACTATATCTAGGATTTAAGATTGCTTTTTTTTACCCCTAACAAGGACGTTTCATGCTGAGAGTTCTAGTTGGATGAGATGTCTGGAGGAGAAAGGCCAAGGAGGGAATCCACCTTCCTTTTTCCGATTGAACAATTGTTGCGTCTCGATTTCGGGTTCGGTTTCGGGGTGTAGACCTACCTAGTCCTTACTACCACGCATTGTCCTTATCCTATGTAACATGCCTATGTAATACCAAAAAGGACAAAGTACTACAAACGGGTTTGATGTTAATGTAGTCTCTGCCCATCTTCTGCATTTTAACCAGTTCCTAGGACCTTCCGGCACCATTTCACCAAGTTATTGAGGGAACTCATCTGTCTTCAAATTCGCAGAGTTCCACCATTGAATTTGTTTAAAATGAGTTCCTATAACGTTGTATCTATTTGCGCACTTTTCGCCGCTCTAGTATCAACCAATCTCAATTTTGCTTCCGCCTTTCCTGAGTGTGCGCCAAGCAGTGAAGGAAGTTGAGCAACTCTATCGCCCCTCGGAATGGGGTTGAGACAGGAGCACGCTGCTGCCGCTATCAACCGCAAGATTTATGTTGTCGGCGGCATAGCTCCCATGGAGAACTCGTCAATTGTCACTATTAATACAATGGAGGCGTACGATACCGACAGTGATACTTGGACACCTGCCGCGCCTCTCCCTGTTCCGATCAACCATCCGAATATCGCGTCCACGGGCGGAAAGCTCTACTCCCTGGGTGGCCTCTCGGGGAATATCAACGGGTCATTCTGGGGCTTGACCGACGCGTTCGAATACGACCCTTTAACCGACGCCTGGTCGGCTCTCCCACCTCTTCCCGAGGGGACCGGCCGGGGCAGTTCCATTGTGGGCGTCTACCGCGATGAGATTATCCTGGCCGGCGGCGTTAGTAGAATCGAGCAGGTGTTCAACGGTATCCAAGATACTGTTGCTACCGTATCCGCATACAACATCAAGAAGCGTACGTGGCGATCTCTGCCTCCTCTCCCGGAAGGCCGCGAGCACGCAGGTGGCGTTGTCATCGGACAGAACTTCTACGTCGTCGGAGGCCGCATCAAGGGGCCGCAGAATAACAGAGATACCGTCTTCATACTCTCGCTGAAGACGTGGACATGGAGCGAGCGCAGTCCGATGCCCACCGCCCGAGGAGGTATTTCCGTCGCTGCTATCAGAGATAGAATCTACGCATTTGGTGGCAAGAACTCGGACCAGTCTACTGGGTTTGTAAATAACGAGACGGAGGTTTACAGCGTCACTGGGGACTGCTGGGAAAGCTTAGAGCCAGTGGCACTTCCGAGACATGGCTTTGCTGCCGTGGCTTTGGGTGGAGCTATCTATACTCCTGGTGGTGGGTTGCAGAACTTTGGCTTCTCAGACCAACTTCAGGCTTTTCACACTGGGGAGAATCGTGGGAATTAGGCATTATTCATTGGACATGCTGGTATTAACCTAATGCTATTACTATGATCGGCTAAGATTGAATACCCATTCATCTCCGCTCCGTTTTATGCTAGGCGCTGGTTTCAATGACAGAGCGTTATGATACAGAGCATCCTCCTAGCTACGAGGGCGAGGCGATTCCAGAGTGCTAACAGAGAAGTCGAGCACTTGCAGGGAATGCTCAGAGAGAGAGAAATACTCAGAGAACTTATAACGATAAGTATCAGGCTGCACATTATATATAGTACTAATAGATTATATACTAAATTAAAGTAATTTAAACTGAAATAGCTTTTTAAAATTAAAGAAAAATCTATTTATTAATATTAGGTCTTCTCGCCCTGGGAGCTAATATTAATATATAGGGTAGTAAGTATAGTAATACCCTTTAAGCTACCTTATTAAAAAACTATTAAGAGATTATAGTACTACTATTAAATAAGGGGGCTAATATGAATACGCAGGGCGGTTATTATGGTAATACCCTATAGGCCGCCTTATTAAAAGGCTATTAAGAGATTGTGGTACTACTGTTAAACAAGGGAGCTGATGCGAATGCGCAAGGCGGCCTGTATGGCAACGCCTTACTGTGGAGAAAACGAACTATGTAAGCTAGTCAAAGAATATGGTTCGACAATTGACTTTAGTTAGCGGGCAGCCTGTCATGGACTTCCTATTACCTGTTCCACAGTTCAACCAGCCAGCTGAACCAGGGCTAACCACGACCCACTGCAGTAGCACGAGTTTGACTAGTCCAACGTGTGTCAAGCCTCCTCCACACTAGTTACGCTGAGGATGAGGGGCGATCCAAGATTCCGAGGCCTGTGAGAATGGAAAGGCGAAACGGATGGTCTGATCTCAGTACATGACATCGCGAATCATGACATACATCTCTGTGCTGAAGGTTTATGGATAATTCTGAGCGAGAAGGGCGCCTTGTCTTTGGGTCCTCGTGGAATGTGCATAGGAAAGTTGCTTTCCTTCCACGAAAATGGTGTTTACACCCGTGAGACTTGTCCAATTGCTGGTCATTGTGATGCGTAAATTTGCTTCCTAAGACAGAGGAATAGCGGTACAATAGCCTGCTTTCCCACATATCTCTTTCTCAGTGTTGGCCGGAGCCACGGTCAACCTCGCGAAGGTCCGGCATCGACCCCCAGGGCGCGCCGTCGGAACCCTCTCTTGGCTTGGCTCAACGCCAGAATTCAATCGGGGAACCCTGATCCCTGCACTACTTGGCAGAAATGCACAAGCTATATAAGATCCATACATCTTGAACAGCAACTCGGTAGAATCAGGATTACGGCATCAGACCTTGGGGGCTCGAGTGTTGCAGGGGTCTGGCAGCTTCCTCATCCGTGGCAACAAGCCAGGGCGATGAGACCGGAAGGCTGGCATGACACGAAGGGTGTCGAAGGCGCCGAGGCTGACGAGGCAAGAAGGCTCGGGACCGGCACGGGTCAGCGCAATATACACACAACCTCCAGCACAAAACTCCAGCGATTGATTTCTGCAACCTGTGAGCACTCCCGTCATCATCATCGTCTTGCTGTCGCACCTTGCGATACTCAGCCTCACACCTTTTCCCCAGAGGGCGCTATGTATAACGCCGGCTGGACGGCATTTGATATGGGTTATGGCCTGATCCGATGAACTAGCTAGTGGGTCTAGTGCGCTGAAGTAACTGGGCCTAGGCCTGTCGCATGGTCCACTTCGGAAGGGCATCGTATCTTTGGCGTCTCCGTATCCTTAGACTCCCGTCCTTGCGCTACTTGGCAGAAACGCACAGGCTAGATAATATACATACATCTTGAACAACAACTCGGTAGAATCAGGATCACGGCATCGGGCCT